GAGAGGATATAAATACAGGCAATTAATTCAAATTACACGTTCTCCAGCTTATTTGGACAATAGACGTCAGATATATTTCATGGCAGTAACAATCCTGTGATCAATCAATAGATCCATTCTGGTGAAGGACCCTATAAAAAATATAAAAAATATATCAATCTTTATATAAAATAAACTATATTAGGTGTTGGAATTAATTCGTAGCGTTTTACAAGTGATGGGAAGTACTTTCATTAATGTATTTTTTAATGCTCATGTGAAATAAATAACATTCTTTCATTAAAAACGCTACGAATTAATTCCAACACCTAATAATTTAAAAATTCTAAAACAGTATGTTAAATCAAATATGAAATTATGTTTATTTGTAAATTTAATTATATTATGCCATTTAAAGATTCTTATATTTCTCTTTTAAGCATAATAAATAAAATCATGTAGTTGACAACTCAATTAAATTTTTTAACAATTGATTTTATACAAATTATAAGTGTCTAAATAAAATTAAATTAAAATAACAATATTAATATAATTATAAGGATATTTCATTCTTCATTAATTATTTTTATTGTTTATTACAGTACTTCAATTTATCTTAATTTTTATTTATAATGTATAATTTCTACGGAAAAAGATGCTTTAAAGAGAAATCTACAGCAATCTTTTCTAATGAGTTACGTATTGACTCAATTATAAAAATTAGATTCATATTAATTATACATATAAAACTCCTTTTTATTCAATTATAATTATAAATAAAAAATCAATTGACTCGAGGAAAACATATTCAAGGAGAGACAAAAATGATATATACACGTCACGTTACTTCATGTAGCACACAGGATGAGTATGACGATGTAGTACACACATAGGAAGTAGATAGTGAAACGTGCGATTCCGAAAATTCTCAGTTCATGATTGGTCGATTAAAGTTGACAATCGGAATTACCGCGTTGAATTGACGAACATTTCGAAACTCAGATTCACGTTCTCTTCGTTGATGACGTGCTTCTACACGAGAACGTACACAACCACCAGTTCAGTCGCCACGCTTTCACAAAGCGTCTTGTATTGAGAAGCTCTCAGGCTTCGTTTACGAAAGACACGATCGATCTTGAACTATAGAGAAAAAGTTCTCGATGAAAACGATGAAAGTTAACACCGAGCCAGTTGTTTCAATATCCAATTCGCGACATAACAGACGAACCGCGAGAATATCGTGCCCTCGTCGCGGACGCCATTACTCTTTCTTGGGCGATGACATCCGCTTTGGCAGTCGGCTGTGGCCGCCACTTCCGGCATGACTTCCGTCTTTATGGTTATAAAAACTACAGATTTTTTGGTTGGTATTGACACTATAAACTGTGCTCCGAAATTCACTGCTAGTATTGAAATTGTTGATAATGTATAAGGGCATGTTCACACTTTGACAAAAAAAAAACAGAAAATGGAAAAGCAGCAGCCAATCAGAACTCGCACTGGTAGTTTACAATTTCGGTCCACTTCACTCTGCAAATGCTTTGAAGCATTCTCTGATTGGTCAATTCGTAAAATTCGTTCTTCTGATTGGTCAACGAAGTACTTGCAGCGTTAAGGTGTCTTTTCATGCTGACGTTCGACGCTCATTTTCAACGTCAAAAATAGAGTTTTCGACTCGACCAAGTTTGCACTAACCTGGGTTGAAGTAATGGTGTTTCGTGCTCTCCTCTTGGTAGAGCATGTAACGTCAACCAATAGCGAAGCATTTTCTAACTCAAGTTTGCGCAAACCCGGTCGAGCCGAAAACGCTATAAGTCACGTGATCAAAATTGACGCTTGATATTCGTCAATTTCTATCACGTGACTCATTTTCACGCCGAAAATGAATGTCGAGCATCAGCAGATTTGTTCACATCGCATGCTCCAACATGCTCCAATATGGCATTTTTTCGTTATCAACCAGAAGCTACCACAACTAAGGCTATCTTCTTCAAGGATCAGAAGACGAAGATAGTCTTAGCCGTGGTTGCTTTTGGTTGTACAACGAAAAAACGCCAAGCTTTTATCATAGCTCCTACTTACTCCAATGTGTGTGTTCTCATTAGAGTGAATAAAGAACTATGGCAAAAGCATGTTGCCATGACAAACCTAAAATGAAAAGGCACCTTTACACTACGTTTGCCAATGGCGATCGCGCCGACTTAGGAGTTACGCATAATGAAAGGAATAAGGAACGGAGAACAGAGAATAAAAATGTCAACCTATCAGAAACTGTATTCCACAATACATGATTTCTGATAGGTTTAAATTCTTATTCTCTGTTCCTCGTTCCCTGTGCGCAGCTCCTCATGGATTTGTCTTGTCATTGGTTGTCAACATTTCTCCTATTCGACTTTCGTATGACTCCAAACATTTCAGTCATACATATCAAACCACTACATACATTTGCCTCACAAACAAAGCACACATATAACGGCTTTGGTAATCGGCACGTTTTTGAGTATATGTTCTGTGCGTTTCTGCAGTGTTTCCACACGTTTTGCGTGATTTGAGAAAAAGAAGTAGTATTATTATTAGGCATGGCGGTAAGATTTATTATTTAATTATGTATCTGTCATAAATATAAATATGTTTGTTTAGAGGAAAAAAGTTTATTGTTTCCTATAGTTCTCATTGAATTATTACATCAAGAACTATATACACGCCGATTAATCTGTATCTCTTTTAATTATATCGTTTTATTGTACTTTGTGTATATTTATATATATTGTTTATTGTATTATTTTTGTATAAAAGAATTATATTGCTTAAAGAAAAGCAATACTATAAATTTACTAATATTATTTTGTACCTTATTGATTGGCATAGCAACCAAATGTTTGATCCATTTTATTGCAATTACTTGATCGTAATACATAGATATTAAAGTATCATGCATCCAATTATTTTTTATTTCAGATTAATACTAACGTACAAGAAGTACGTGAGGTCACCAGGATAGAGCGTATTGGTGCTCATTCTCATATCAGAGGTTTAGGACTGAATGATAGTTTAGAGCCCCGCAATGTAAATATTCTGCTTTTTTTTTTTATAAAGATTTGATGTTTTTACAATTTAATGAAAATTAACATTTGTTGTTACTGTATTAGGTTTCTCAAGGCATGGTTGGACAGCTTATGGCACGCCGAGCTGCTGGCGTTATCTTAGAGATGATTAAGGAAAGTAAAATAGCAGGTCGAGCAATTTTATTGGCTGGACAACCTGGCACGGGAAAAACAGCCATTGCTATGGGAATGGCGCAAGCTTTAGGCCTAGATACTCCTTTCACATCAATGGCTGGTTCTGAAATTTATTCTTTAGAGATGAGTAAAACAGAGGCTCTAACTCAAGCTATTAGAAAGTCTATTGGAGTCAGAATTAAGGAGGAGACAGAAATCATAGAGGGTGAAGTAGTGGAAATTCAAGTTGATAGACCAGCAACTGGAATTGGAGTAAAAGTTGGCAAGTTGACATTAAAAACAACTGAGATGGAAACAATTTATGATTTAGGAAATAAAATGATTGATTGCTTAATGAAAGAAAAAGTTAGTATATATATGTCTATTAAATAGATTATATCTCGTTTGTATTACGACTTTTTATTCATCTTCAGGTACAAGCTGGTGATGTTATAACGATTGACAAAGCCACAGGGAAGATCAATAGACTTGGACGATCCTTTACTAGAGCTCGAGATTATGACGCGACAGGTTCGCAAACGCGTTTTGTACAATGTCCAGAAGGCGAATTGCAGAAACGCAAAGAAGTCGTGCACACTGTGACATTACATGAAGTTGATGTGATAAACAGTAGAACTCATGGCTTTTTAGCACTTTTCTCTGGAGATACTGGAGAGATAAAATCTGAAGTGCGAGATCAAATAAATGCTAAAGTCGCAGAATGGAGGGAAGAAGGGAAGGCAGAAATAGTTCCGGGTGTACTTTTTATCGATGAAGTACATATGTTAGATATCGAATGTTTCTCATTTCTGAATCGAGCATTGGAGAATGAAATGGCTCCAGTTGTAATTATGGCAACAAATAGAGGTATGCGCGAATAATCAATTATATTAATATTAAATCAATGTTATTTAACAATCTATAATTATGTAGGTATTACAAGAATTAGAGGAACAAATTATAAGAGCCCTCATGGCATTCCGATTGACTTGTTGGATCGTGCGATTATTGTTCCAACGAGTCCGTATCAAGAGAAGGAGTTGAAAGAAATTTTGAAAATAAGATGCGAAGAGGAGGATTGCGAAATGACTGACGATGCTCTGACCGTGTTAACTAGAATCGCTTCAGAAACATCGCTGAGATACGCAATACAGTTAATTACGACGGCTTCTCTTGTAAGCCGTCGAAGAAAAACTACAGAAGTAAGTAGGACTGACGATACAATTTATTGCATATATATTTCATATTATATATGAAATAATATGAATATATTTCATATTATTGTAATGATGTTATGATGATGTTTTAAATGATAGGTCGGTATTGATGATGTGAAACGTGTCTATTCTTTATTTCTTGATGAAAATAGATCTACGCAATTTCTTAAGGAATATCAAGATGATTTTATGTTCAATGAATTCTGTAAGTTATATAGTTATATTTATATGATATGTGTACTTAATGTAACTAAAATTTAAATATTTTTTCAATACTGTTTCAGCTGCTTCGGCTGAAGATAACATGGAGGTTTCTTCATAATACATTGTAGAATATCATTACAACAAATTTTTTATTAAGTTATAAAATTACAAAAAATAGAATAAAATTTTTTTAATACAACAATAATTGAAATATATATGTATTCTTCTAAAATGATGCATTATCACAAATATTTTTAGTTAATTATATATTAACATATTTATAACAAAATAAATGTTTCGCATTATCCTCTATCTCTTAAATAAACATTTAAAACATCTTAGGTCATAATTGATAAGGTAGATATGTAAACAACTTCGTACATACAATATGTAACTGCTTAGCTTTGATTTAATATCTTAGAGATAATACATATTTTTGATGATAAAATAATTAAAGATTAACATTTATGGAGGTCCATTTTTTTGGTGTATAAAGCTTAATTAGATAACTTAACAGTAACAGGTGCATAAGTAGATGCGATTAATAACAAAACGCACAGATTTCCAACGTTCTTTGAAGATACGATTCAACAAATATTACTTGACATAATTTAGAATATTTATATTAGATCTTCTTTTCTTGTACTTTGCTAACTAGAAAAAAAAAATAAATTAATGTTAATAATTACTATGATAATGTAAAAAATCGCTTACATGAATTATATAAAAAATTTATTTTTATGCAACCGTGTACGTTATTCACGTATAATAATTTACGAGTAAAAAGTATATACATATATTTTACAATTCAGTTCACACACATATCCGTGTCGCGATCCATTGATATAGATAAGGAAAAGAGAAAGTTATGAAAAAAGTTCATCGGAAAAACAAGATCTCTTAATTTTATTTAAGCTATACTTTTTGTACATACTTGTAATCAATTTTATGCCACCTTCTGGTTTGAATGACGATAATTGGGCCTTCTTATCTTTCGATACGAAACCTAAGCCATATCCCACTTTGTACACAGGCAATGGAATTACCGTGGATGAAACGGGTACCATTACTGAAAGAAAAAAATATTAAATTCAATATTAAAATCAATCATTAAATATTTATAGTGTATACGTATAGTCGGCTGATTTAGTAGGTCACTATATACATCGATACTCGATAACGTAACTTGTACAATTATTTTATATTGATTACCAATAATCGGTATAAGATATTCATAACCAAATATATATATATATATGTGTGAGAATAAAGTGAAAGTTAATCATTCATTCCGCATGCAAGAAAAAAATAGAAAGTTGAAACACCGAAAATTAAACGACGGAAATGTCAGAACGGCAGTAAATGTCGCGTATACAGAAATCGCTTGACAATGATAGAGCTATCTACACCGCAAATATCATATATATATATATATTCATCATCATATATATATATGAATTGAATATCTATATTGATTTTAATTACAGTAGCGGTACGTGTGAGGTAATGTAATATATGGTCATACGTTTCATATAATATGTATAATCTTCGATGAAACACATTCGCATCTGATCTACAAGCCACAAATCTCGTTTACATACACTATAATGTACATTATAATAGCGGCATCTGTTCACACTAGAATGAATTCAAGTTGTATACACCTACAGTATTCTACCACAGAGAAATCCTTTCGAATTGTTCACTCGAGCGACGATTGCACTTGGTTGCTGAGAAACGCATCGTCTCTACCCCTCTTTCCGCCGATCCTCTCTCTCTCTCTCGCGTTGTAACGACAATTCAAGGACGACATATATGTAACTTCTATTAACACCTTTTACGCGTGGGCGTCTTACTTTATTTAGCGATTCGCCTTTCCAACCGTTCGCGCCGGCAGCGAGAAAGATTAGAAAAGATATATCACTCTCTATGCTCCTGCCATGCGTAATACATATAGCGACATGTAAAAAATTTCGAAAAATACAGCTAGAAATGCATGTTATTAACGCGATATGCGTACATAGTGGACCTGATCATCAGAAACCTACGCATTACTTGTCTGACATCACCGTTCCGTTCCATTCACCTGTCAAATATTGTTTTGCGCGAATTCAGAATTCTCGAGAGAGATCGCTCTTTATATGGTAACATTTCGCCTCAGATCTTGCTTCCTTTTTGTTAACATACATTTATCATCAACTTATGCACGAAGCGGTCGATGTGTAGAAGAAACAAGCGCAGCGCAAAAGAAATAAGGACATGCAATCTCCGTGTTAATTAGCGTGGTTAATTAGATTCTTAGACTCTAATTATCAAAGTGAAAGTTTCTTCTGCGTAGACATTTTTCTGTGCGTTATTTAAGTTCTCTTGTCTGAAAAAAAGCAAACTATACTTTCAAATTGAAATAGATTTTTTCGAACATTAAGACGTTATGTGTATCGTATTGACATTTCGTTATGTCGGTGTGCAGGATAAAATTTCACTTAACTTTCTGGAATGACAATGTATATTTCACACGTTGCAAAAATCGCAAATTGAAAGGATCAATCCTTTGGCAAAATTGGAAAACTCATCCCGTAGCACAATTTCGTCCACGTACAATTTTTAGCGTAAAATAAAGGATATATTTTTTTATTATTGTTTTAAGAGGGAAATTGCCATACAATGATGCATATCTGTAGATGGATGATATGTATTGGAAAACATCCAATTTGCACACGTGCCGGCGACACCTCTGATAAAAATAAAAATCAGAGCGTAAGTCGAATGTAATGGGAGAATAACAGAAGCGTAAATGAAACTTCTAGGAGACGAAAATTGAAACATCAAAATGTAAAAGAAGCGTAAGTGCTTCTTTTACATTTCATTGTTCCAATTTTCGTCTTCTAGAAATTTCGTTTACGCTTCTGTTACTCTCGCATTACATTCGACTTACGCTCCGATTTTTATTTTTATCAGGGACAAATTATTCCTCGTTGCGCTAAGAATTCAGATTTCGTAATTAAGAAACATTCAAAGCATACACACGCAATCTCTCTTTTCCTCTTCCAAAGCGGAAAGCTAGAATAAGCGGACAGAAGAATATTTAAATTTGTTTCGCAAAATATTCGAACGCGTTTTTTTTTTACCGATTTAAATCGAAAAAAAAAATGCTCTTGAATCGCAGATTTTTCGCTTACCTGGCTCGAATACATTATCTTGGTTCTTTTTGTAAATCGTTGGCTTGGCGTGCACCACAGCGATCACGGTGATGACGCAAAAAACGATGGTCCAAAAAGTCCCCATGCCTGTCTCGCTGCGGTCGGCAGCTGTCAAATAGTGATAGAAGAAAATCCTTTAAAAATAAATAACAATCCTGAGAAAAATCCTTTAAAAATAATAAATACGCGCAGATTCGGTCGCGAGAAATACCTTGCGCGGCAATACCTGATGCGACACTACTATCGCTCGGCGCTCGTTTGCCGTGGACCAAAGCAAATGAAAACACTTACCGTGAGTGGGGAAACTATGGATAAGAGAATTGACGTAATCCAAAAGATCGTAATCCAAGATCGCGACTCTACGATTGTAATAATTCCACGTAGCGCAAAGGAGACGCGCAGATATCAGAGATAATAATGAGGAAGAGATAAAATAAGAAACTTATTATTAGATCGAAGAAAGGAAAGAGAGAAAGAGCAATGAACAGAATTATAAATCTCCATCGTCATGTACCTTTCGCTCTCCTCTCTCGCATGAGAGAACGCGTGAAAGTTCGATTTTTGTAGTTTATTTATGCTACTGCATACTACGTTGATCTACATTTTAAATGTTAATTTATTTATTTATTTCTGCGAGCGCGTTGCGTATTGAAAGACATTTCTATTTGTATTCAAAAAATGTTTACTATTTTTTTTTTGAGATACATTTCGCAAGATCTTATTCTCTATTTTCTACTTTTTGTACTTCAATTGTACTTCAAATAATTGCAAATCACGTTTCCAATATACATTTAATTTTAATACATATAATTTCAAATTTTATTATTATATATTCGCACAGAAACATATTTATAATATTTTGAAACAACATTTGGACGTATAATTATTTACGAAATCGCGCCACTTCATAAATATATGTTTATGCTATTTTCTCATGAAAATGAGTAAGAACTATTTGAGACGAAATTACGCCCACGATTTATTCCGCTTGAAGGTAAACTAAGAAAGAAACAAAGTGCTTGTAAACGATGACCAAGGAGCGTCAAGGATTTGTATTAATCATTCTTTATACACCTACGTCATTCCAAGAATTTTTCCGTAAATACACACAAATAGACGTACAAGTGTATACGAAAAAAGACACGTAAATACAAATTTCTTCGTTTTAAATATATAAATATATGGTCACATATTTTAATATAATTTATTAAAAATAGAATATATGAACAAATTTATTATTTATTATACGAGTATGCATCTAATTGTAGACAAGACAATAATGATTTTGAGAGATGAAAAAAAAAACGATAAGTACTAACTACAGATAGTTCGGTAATTAGCAAGCGTGACAGGAACACAGGCTAGTAGTCTAACAATGGAAACTGGGTTAAAAAGTGAAAGGATTCAGATTGAAGAAAGAACGATCGTAGAGTTCGAGCTTTCTATTCACTCGATGACAGTTTTGCGGTGCCCGAGAGGCGTCTCCTGAAAGTGAAAGAATTGCAAGTAGTTCCAAGAATGAGCGTTATGTCAGCAGAAATAGCCAAATCCTTCTTCTTTTATCTTCTTTTCAGCGATTTTTTGCCATGTGACGCGAAGAAAGTAGACTGCTGGAGAGATAGCTATCAAATTATGATTAGACTTAGACATATTATGCTATTGTCGTTGGCCATTAGCAAGTATATTCCCTTTTTTCCGAGAAAAATTACTATTTATAATATTCCTTTATTTTATGAATTGCAAAGTATGATTCAATAAAAAGAGATGATACAAAAATAATGGAATATAAATACACGCGAGGTTTCATTGATTTCTACAGACACAAATTCGTTAAATGACATGATAAGAAGAACGTCAATGAGCTTGACCGTAAAATAAAGCGGTGAGATAACTTTTATCGACGGAATATTCCTGTGAATGGTCTATCAAATAGCCGGGAATATGATACCGTTATTGCCATTTTTCTACCGGAACAAGTAATTGAATGGAAGGAAGAAGAGAAAGATTGGGGAAATGCGAGATATATCGGCCGAGATATAATCGAACGAAATTGCTCTGCGGAAACATTCAATAACTTTGCACGCACGTGCTCCTATAATCGTACATCGTGTTATCAACACGAAGAAACTGCTTTTTCTGCACATTTTATTTGAGTTAAATGTAATAAGTTTGAAAATACATCGGCACGGCTGATATTGAAATATTTTATTCCTTCTACGTGCAAGTTTCGTCAAACGTGTCGAAACTTGAAATCGTGAATAAGTAATTTTATCATCATATTTTATGTAATATATTTATATGATTATAAAAATTATTTTTACATACATATATTTTTATATATTTTACTATAATAGTAATAAGTAACTCATCATTCTTGTCACTGAGATAAAAAAATCATGAATTTTACTTACTGATTTTATGTACGACACTATATATTTTATAGATACAATTGTAAGAAATGCACCAACAAAATCTATTCGTCACGGCGACTGATCGTTTTACATGAGAATATATCCGAAAATTCGAGATGACTGTACCGCTGAGATTTCACACGGATATGCACTTAGTAACACAATACACAGTCAATTTCCGGTATGGGGAAAGAAATCCACTCTCGAGAATACGCTCGTTGCAAAAATAAAGATCATTTATAAGCGAGGATGTTGCGTGTAAAATATTTTTTAATATAACAAACAGCATTATGTCACTGATAGTATAATTATATATGTACGTTACAGGCGTAAAAATTATACGTATCACTGACAAATAACTGAGCACAAATTCCGGTTCGTCTCCTCCAAGCTCACTTTAAATGAGAATCGGAACCGAAAGAACCCAAGGAGGGTGAAGGAACGGCTTACCCTTTGCAATAGTCAAGTCTTACCGCGTTAATTGCAAGTACTTCCCTCCAGGGGTACCGCATACGAATATGTACGTATGTAGACGCTCGTCTACGAGGGTAGACGCAGGGATGACTCGGCACAACACCCCATTTCCCTTTCAGTGCTCTGCTTGCGCGGGTCCTTTCATACCTCGCCGCCGCGCTGGTTAAAATATTAGGATTTCCCCAAGGTCTTCTACACGCAGAGAGCACCACCAACCCTCGTTGTCCTCTTCGTAAAGTTCTCGCAGAGTCGCTCGAAAGTCCGAATCAAAGCCTGCTCCCCTATTCACGTGCTCGGTTTCACGTGTATGCACGAGTTACTGCGTGGGCAGACACGTGAGTTGTCACGCCTATGAGGGTGGTTGTTACCTCTTTGTTATAAAGCAATCTCTGAGAACGTGGTCTTCGAGAAGAACTATTTGTACTTTATGAAGATGAGGCGTAATGAGTTCCTAATTATGTGTAATATTGTTCCTAATTACTTATGTGTATATATTTAAAATATTCAAGAGACTCCATATCTTGGTAACTTTTAAGTGAAATATTATCATAGATACACTTACTTGGAAATCTACGTGTAATAAATTATGTTACATATATTGTCATGATTATATTTTCGTTAATTTAGAAAATTCTAATAATTAACTTTGGGAAAATAATTAAAAAATGTCTTGGAGTAAGTTATCTTGTTACTCTTTTTTTAATACAAATTTCATAAAATTCTAATTACAATAATTTTAAAAACGCTCTACTTTTTCGCATCTTTGTCCGCAGAAGAATTAATTAAATTATTTATTGCATTAGAAAATTTAATCTGTAGATGAAGAGACATTATGTTTTTCGACGACTGATGACGCCAGTCAAGCTAAGAGACATGGAGCTAGGCTGTTAATTATTTCTGAAGCTAGTCCGACATTGGCGGTGTCAAACTTGGTACTTTGGGCCGCGATTATATTATTATGTCCCATGGGAGCGCACCCGATGCTACACCCTCGTGATTTACCATACTCTGAAGTCCATATACAAAGTACACGCTTAATAGAGATCACATTTAGCTGTATAAATCAAACTACGTTACGTATGTATATTGCACTCGCGATGGGTTTAATACGGACACATACTTAGAAGAGAATATGTCATTAATATTATCCAATGCTGATAATTATTTTAAACTTATTATAAAGAAAACAAAAAGTTTCTTGTAAAAGAAATTATACTAAAAATCGATATTTCTAAAAAGAAAGAAAGATTCGAGGATTTTAGGGAAAGCGAAAACGATATGGGAAAAGAAGATGAGAAGCGGAGGAGTCATAGGGGTGTCAAGTATTCGCTGTTCGTTTCGGCATGTTAGTATCATTCCTCCCTTTCATATATGTACGTATATTACTCATCCCCATGAGAAAAATATCATATTCACGCATATGACTCAAAAGAGTGCAGCTTTCTTTTGGAGTGTTTATAATGTTTCAAGATAATACATTTCTAAAAGAATATTAGTAATATTTTTAATTTTTTGTATCACATATATCCATTATATTATAATATACTTAAATGTTAAGCTTTTTTAAATCTTTTACAGTGTTTTTCTAAAGCTCTATTTGATTTTTGCGGAAAAGCAAGCATTATATAGAAGCACAATATACAACAAGCTTAATATATATTAAAAATTTAATCACTGGCGCATTTCAGAGCTCGTAATTTCTCCGGATTTCACATCAGGAATTACATCGGGATTTAATCCGCTAAGTTGACAGTGCGGATAAACTATGTCTGTATCACTCTAGTGAAATATTCATCTCCCGACATGTTTCAAATATCCATACTGTCACCATAAAATTGTCGGTTTAATCTCGACTGTCCCTGATTGAATATTTGACGAATCCTCAAACATATATCCAAATTTACACGTAATATAACTACTTTTTTCTGTTCCAAATTTTTGTTTCTATTAAATTTCTATAACAAGCAGTAAGAGAAGCAAATATTTTTGTTGATTTATGATAATTTAACCATGCATATTTATAATGATTATCTGGTTCTGCACTGCAGAGGACAGTAAAGGACGATTCCAGACCAATTAATAGCTTGTACTTGAGCTGTCAAAACCTGAAGCTCGCGCGTTCCTGATGTTTAACTTCAAATTTGTATCCAGGATATCTGCAGAACACAAATAATACACACATGATAGAGTAAAATCTCTCTTATTTATTAATATAACATACGAGTAGTACTTCAGTTTTTTTATAAAATGTTAAAAATATAGAAATTTGCACTCAAATTATTGTTTAATATATAGTTATTGTTTAATAAATAGTTGATAAAAAGAGATAAGGACATTTCTTCTAAAAAATTTATAATTTAATCCGTGATTAATTTATATATTATACATTATGATTAATTGATTCTATCAATTTACTTGTTGCATATAATAATGCATACATTTACCATTTATTTTGTTCTGAAGAAAAGCATGTGAGCTCCCATTTATATAAATTATTTATGTAAATCTATTTGTACAATAATTTTAATAGTAATAATTACATCACTGATAATCTTATGTCGTGATCGCTGAAACGAACAAATTTGATGTAAAAATGCATGGTCGAATTATCGATCAGTATTGAAAAACGGCTTGTTAGTTCGAGTTGAATCACCTCGTAAGAAACCACCCCCAGAAGTTTCCCAGGTGTCAGACGCTTCCTGTGTTCCTTTCTGCCTCTATATATCTATCGATCCTAAGCACCCTACATCCCTTCCTCTTGTGCCACCGACTGTTATCCCCCCCTCTCTCTCTCTCTCTCATCCGCTCTCTCTCTCTCTCTCTCTCTCTCTCTCTCTCTCTCTCTCTCTCTCTCTCTCTCTCACTCTCTCCTATGATCCCATCTCTTCACCATACTGTAACTTTCTCTCTCGCTCGCTTGCAAACTAAATCTATGGGGTGATTCATAATCGGTTTCTTCTTCTACATCTTCTTTTAACCATTTCGTTACTAACTTTGAAATATAAATCAATATTTTAATAAATTTATTTTACTCTTGTTCAAATGTAAAAAGCAAAAAAGATGAATAACATTCGTTATAATAAAAATAAAAGCATTTTTATTGGAAACAACAAAACACAGAACTACATTTATAGGAATAATTTAATTTTTCTTAAAAGTATAAAAAATATCAAACATAGATGCTATATTCAGGTTTATGGATCACCCTGTATAGTACACTGTGCCCCTGCAAGTAGCCCTCCTCATAGTAGCTTACGCCATGGGGCGGGTAATTTTCCTTGCATATTTATACACGCGCCTCATCGAGAGAAGTGCCTCTGTTATCTCTCTCTCTCTCTCTCTCCCTCCCCCCCCTCTCTCTCTCTTTCTCGCTTGTTCTCTCTCCGAAAGAATTAACTGCTACGTTTAACAGGTACCATAATAAGGAGAAATTCTTCCTTTTTTCCGCAAATCCTCCTTTACGAAAGCGAACGATTCGTTTACAAGATCAAGATGAAGCTATTTTCGCTCATTCAAGTGATTTAACAAATCATTTTCTAATACGCTTCATGCTTCATTACAATATGCAACAAAAGATTGTTTGGAAATATTAAAATAGATATCAAGGTGATATTGTTTAAAATATAACAAATTTTAATGTAAGAAATTCGTACACAATACTTGACTATTTATATAGTTATGAGTTATCCATATTGCGTCACTGATATTGAGAATTTGAAAGGAAGCTATAAAATAGAATTCTTTAGTTAATTAAAGATAATAAACGTTTATTTAGTACAGAAAGGGATTAGACAGACTCTTGCAATCTCTTTATCTCTTTATTTAGTCTAATTCTATAATACATGATATCTATATGGTAGCGAAAACTTTCACACAAACTTTGATCCTGTTACTGAAAAATATCATGAAATATTGATAACCCATTTCATCTGAAATATCTCTAATTTTATATTAAATAAATTTAATCATTTATTTTACGTGCTGTTTTAGTTACGATAATTGAAGAGATTACGCACAGCAATTTTTAAATTAAATCTCGATTTTTAACGCATTTATACGGAAGCAAAATTAACTACTTTATTTTTTTATTTTTATATTAAATACAATAATACTATTTCATAATAAATCGAATCGAATTATTAATCAAAGAACAATCCTTTCCATCACAATAGGATGAAAGTAGTTTAGGTCTATGTCTAATAAGTCGACAACCCCTTGGCTTCCGTCACAGTCAGTTAAAACGTTGACAGTCAAGCGAGTTACATCAATGACAGCGGAATGCAGTTCCGGCATTCCATTTCTGTCGCTGAAGAATCACATTTTATCGTTTGAGACGGAAACGACTCTCTCTCCACGAGACAACAATATAGCTCTGACTTTGTCGCGAGGTATTATTACTCGTTTCAACCAATAAATGGAAAGTGGTTCGGTGTATATTTTAACCACTTGTCAAACTCAATTAAATACACGTGCCGCTAATAAAACAACGAACAAAATACGATTAGTAACGAGTAAACGTCATTATTAATTATGCAAATAGTACAAATAAAACTTGATAATATTTATTTATATTTTTAGATAAATTTTTTTAACTAAAAATATATAGAATATATAATACGATTAAATAAATAAAAATTTAAAAAAATAAAGAAAAAGTAAAATTAGTAGACTCTGTTTCTGGGCAAATATTTTTTTTATTCTCTGTATAAAAAATATTTACATATTATATTTATTTGTAACAAAAATGTACAAAAATGTTGAAAATGTTGTATATATATATATATGTAATATACTATCTAATAAAAATATATCATCCAAACAATTTTCATTTTATTAACCATTAGATTATATATACTGCCATTAGATTACAGCATTATTTTTTGTTTGCGTAAAATGATCTTAAAGAAAAACAAGGTAAAAAATATTTTTATAAATTTACCTCTCCCCCCACGTATTATACATATTATATCAAAATTACGCATATAAATATATTGCATATTACCTTCTATATATTATCTATGTAACTTTAAAACTCTATCCGAGGTAAAGTGAATCATTTTTTAATGGAAGAGTGAGACGAACTATTTAGTGCTTTCTGACTAAGAGATAAAATTAGCACCAGAAAAAAAAGCCGAGCTGTGAACACCCTCGCATGACGGAAAACTCACTCAACCACGAACGAAAGCTCGGACGCGAACCATCGGTAATCGTCATTGTACCGACGGGACGTGGCGGCGATGCCACCCCCGCATATCGTACACTCTACTACCCCCGAAGGTAGACACGCGGCTGCTCTCTCCGCCACGTTTTCCCGAGCTCAGTCTGACACCCTCCCATCGCCTTCGGTCGGTGGTGGTTTCCCATGCGCGCAGAGGGTGGAAAGGGTCTCCTCGTTCGCGGGCGTGGGGTTGCGCGCGCACTTTCTACCCCCTCTGTATGTCCGGCACATAATCGAACTGGGAGCGCCGTGGTGGCCGTCGTCAGTTCCGTAAGACGGAGCTAAATTTCATTTCTAAAATGAGAACATAGTTTAGCCAAAACGAAAGAAGATAAATGCGACGTAAAAACGTGAAGTAAGGAAGAGATTCTTCGTGAGATCCTCCTCGTCGTGACAAAGAGTTTCGATTTGCAGCCCGGTCTCGCAAGTGTAATCACGCTGCTTATCGCTCGACTGTAGCGATATCATCGATGCACAAGTGCACGCGGGATAGAGTGATGGTGCGACTTTAGGAAAGGAGGGTGGTCTCTTCTTCAAGTTTACACGCGTTTTGCTCGAGCTCCGAGGGTGTCTGAGAAATTTTAAAACATCCACCAAGTAAAATTCGTCACTCCGCGAGTGCAAAGCAGGGTGGATATCGTCAACGAGAGTTGAATAGGATTTTGGCAGTAAAGGGTTGACGTAACGAGAGGAGAACCGTCATAAAGTAGAGGAGCTGCGACACCGCCACCGATCAAAAGCGGCCAATTTCGTCAGGGCTGAGCTACGTCCTCGACGAAGCAAGGGATTCCACCGTGTGGAATCTCTCCTCGAATCACAATGGCGCCCAATTTCGTGTTTGTGGAATCGTGGCCGGCCACGATCGACTAATGCAACAACAGCAGGCGTATTTGTAAATATATAGCCATATATATCCCTGTATCTATCATCCATTCGATACTCTGCTGATTTAAATGAGTAGAGTATACCAGTTAATTGACGTTTCTTGAAACGTCTCCGATAGTCTCGCCAGTATACGGTGAAAGAGGCAATATGAAAAGAATACGCAAGAAGCATCCGCCAAAGATAAAAGAAAATTATGTCAAATTCGTCACGATGATAGTGAATGCAGTGAATTCAGGTGCGTGATGCTCTCGCCTGGGGATATTTAGCGGTGTCTTTCATCGCTTCTCGTTCATGAATGTTACTTTATTGAAAAATAAAAATCTGAGCTAGTGACAACGAGAGAGATGTATACGACACGCAATTTACAACAGTTGTCGATTAATTCGAACGGAAGAGAGGCAACGATCCGACGATATTCGTAAATAACCTGTGCTCGAGTCTTGAAACTTACGCGATGTTCTTCGAAAAGGAATGGACGAATACCGACGATAAACTGATATTTGACGTGTATGTTGCAATGATTATCTTTGAATTGCTGCCCGAATGAAATTGAAAAAATATACGCCAACTCGAAGACAATTTATTCATTAAATTATCTTCGAAATATTTTCCGTATTCCATCACAAATCACGACAAAGAGCACGATGTCGCGTGAAATCGCGATAGGACACAGAAGACTGATACCAAAACTCACAAGAAAGTGATAACGGCGAAGAGAACGGAAAGTGAGGAAAGATCGAAGTTCAACCCTGTTTGGCTGTTTTTATAAAACAACCCTTCAACCTGGCGGACCAAGAGGAAGGAAGTGGCTCAGCGGCGATGCAGGGCAAGGAGAGCCCCGTTGGGTCCAACACCCAGGAGACCCATCAGTACGTCGGCCCGTATCGGTTGGAAAAGACCTTGGGGAAAGGCCAGACTGGTGGGTGGTGCATGCTCTCCCCCTCTTTCTCGCTCCTTTTCTCTCTCTCTCTCTCTCTCCTCCTTCTCCTCCCCCTCTGTTACAAATCTCCGTTGCAATCGTTATTGCGATCGACGATAACCACAGGAATGTCTAATCAAGTCGAGTCAGAATGTTCAATTAAGTTCCGTATTCGAGAAAATATACGAGATCTCGCCAACGCGCTTCTCAGTTACAGAGCTTTAAACTCTGTTTCACACCTTTTTAATTGAAAAAGATTAAACGATTAAGGTTTAACGATACGTTGATCGATACAAATTTACCGCGAAACTTTCGCAGGACTTCAAGGTTTGCCGCATTGTGACATAAAATATTTGTAATTCTCACAGATTATCTCACTGCCCACGCAAGCTTCCAAAACGAGGATATATTTTTATGTCTTTTGAATCTACAAGAATTGAGAATTCTGTTCTCGCAACAATACGAAAATAGAAAAAAAAATTGATAACAGGTACACGATGGTTAATGCGAGTTATTTCACGGTAATAGTGAATTATAGCGGTAATAGGATCAAATCGAAGCCATTTCGCGACAAGACTATTAGTTTTATGGCACTGTTGCCGAATGCATTTTCGTAGGCTATCGGTTCAATTCGAATATACGATCATACTTTTCTGCCTTTTCACGTATGTCGTTCTACTCTCATTTCGTATTCAAATACAATTCCTTTATTCCTTGAAATTGGAAATTCCTTGGAATTAGTCCTTGGCGTAACTACGTACGAGCAAATTCTCGGAGAATAGATATACACATTTTATGTAACTTACTGTACATCGAGTAGACTTAAACCAAACAATATTTTGATTATAATACTGTTGCACGTACATATTTACAAACGGTACACTGAGAAAAAAATAGTTCATTTAATTAAATTAATTTAGTTTTTATTTCTTTTGATGAAGAGTATATTAAATATATAATATTTAAGTTAAACATATTGAAAGAAATGAAGACAACTAAATTAAATTAGTCAAATGAACAATTTTCTTTCTCAATATAACGCTGTAAACTTGTGCAAGCGTCAGAAGTTTTAATTGCAATTGCTATATGAACAGTTTTATCTTGTAATGTATTGCGGTAGTATTTATTATCAAAAATGAGCTTTTCATCTAAAATTTAATTACTCCAATTTATTTTTTTAATATTTTCTAACTGAAAAGCTCATTTTTGCGGAATAAATTATAAAAGAAATAAATAAAAGAACAAATGTTTTACAGAATCAATATTTTACGGAGAACTCGCGCGTCCAGAATTTGCAGAGAGGGAAGTTTAACGCCACACTAATTTGCTCTCACCTCAAAGGCATTCAATGCTATTATACGATCGATACTGACAGCGTACTAATTATGTCATGTAACGGTTATGGCAGACAGAGAATTAGCAACGTTTTCGAGTAGGGTAATCATAGTAATATCTATAATAATATCGCATATCTAAAATATAGTATAAGAAAATTACATTTGTTTACTGCTACATAATTATAAGTTGGCAGAATCAGATTATATTCCCTTTAAGGAGATCCTAAAGCCATCTGTATTACTTTACACACATACATAATTTACGTGTCATTGACATATTACACATTATTACACACTATTATGTATAAATTTTCTAACTATAACTAATCTTTTATATGAAGTATCTAAGCCTAATTCTAAGAACACAATATTGTTTGTTCATGTAATCCCTAATCCAAACCAAGATTGTTTTATACGTACAAAGTATAAAACTTGTATATATTATAGAAAGCAAATATTGTTGCGAGTTGACGTCAGAAGCCGATAACAAAGCTTTAATTTTATTTTTTTTTGTTTTCGACGTAAAGTTGATTGGTTTGGACTACATTATCTCTCATACTTTAATTGTGGAGAAAGATTTTTAAATTTGTATATATAAAAGCAGAAAAATACATAGAAAAATACTTATTTAAAAAACAATCGGTAAAAAAACAGACGACTTTAAGATGTCCCTTTAAATGTCACTGAAAAAGGGGACGCATGAACCACGAAAGAAAAAAGTAGAAGAAAACGATAGAGAATATAATTTATAATTGTTCTAATTCTTGAATTATTCTGTAACTTGGTACTCTAATAACAAAACATGAATATAGTTCAAAGTTTAAGAGCCCCTTGCTTTGTATCATGCTGTACGAAAAAGACTCGACGACAATCGTAAATCTTTATGAAGCAGTTAATAAGCATTTTTAATTAAGTGCCACCAGCAAGGGGACTGGAAAGTAATAATGTCGATGACAATGAACGTATTAAAGAAAAAAGAATTCGCCGATTCGTCCGCGCGTAAATACTCTGCGTGTAAATGCAACAGTAAATTAGCGATATTGAGATGAGACATTCTTCTCTTTTTCATTAAACACTTTTTACTTTCTATTCATTTTTTATTTAGATGTAATATCTAGAAATGGAATTTGCGACGCAGATGCGAGGTCTAAATAGAAACACAATTTGCTTCTTCGATCAAACGTAATTTCACGTAATTTCGCAAAAGCTCGTTAATGAATTCGCGGCTCGGCTTTCAGCGGATGGGTCTCGTGGTGGTCATTTCCTCCGGTGGACTATATCGATCCCGTATGCATCTCGAAAGGGGTGCATGCTCTGGCACGTGACAATACGGCACGTTAATCATACGAATGAATTCCTCTCCACGCTTTGAATTCCATGACCCACGCGCGAGCGAGTAATGAAATTGCCGCTCGTGCTCGCGACATGAGTGCGCATGGTTTGAATTATAATTGACGAAATCGATAGAAACATTAGAAAGAAAAATAATGACATTACGCAGGAACGGAGGAACGGAGGTACTAAATGATGTACGAAAAGTCTTCGAGCAAAAGCTTAGTGTGTGAATCGATTTTGAAAAAAATGAACGAAAATTGATATATTCGGGCTTTAATGGTTTAACCTAATAAGCAGAATGTTTAAAATCGACGCATAAAACAATTTTAAGATATCTTTCAGAATTCTTTATGAAATATCCTAAAGGTGTTTCTTAAAAATATTTCAAAGTTGTCTTATGCGTCGATTTTAGACATTCTGCTTATTGGGAACTTATACAAAATATTTTTTACATAAAACTTATTTTCTATCTCGTATTCGAAAGCAAATTCAAGATTAAATGTGTTAATATCATAAATTTATGTACTGAAAGAATTCGTTGTCAGACGTCTCACAATCAGTTCTTGGACATATTAACAATAAGATGTAAGAGGGAAGTTTATAGATTTGATGTAAAATTTTATCTCGGTAAATATAAATTTCTAAACTGTATGCGACGGATCCGAAGGATTTTTCTCTACAAATGTACATATATGCTATCGTCACCGTTAAATCATGGATGACGTAAATCGTTAGAGGGAAGTGCACTTTAACTCTCGATGGTCTCAATAGCCGCTAATGCAATTGCCACCGAATTTGATGGGAAACGTCGTGTTCGTTTAATTCCATAGGAATTGTCATCTCGTCAATCACAGACGAGACAATCTCGCGCGTTTCAATTGAGAATGGCTGAAAGATAATGGCCATCGATCATAAAAAATGTCTTGGACTATTTATAACATACTAGCGTAGCGTCACAGAAACGTAATATATTTTTAGATGATATGTAAATAAGTGTATGCAATACAGATACAAAGAAGCTGATGCGCACGTGAAATATTATTTTTCACTCAAGTAATCAAAACACATCGATCACTTTGCGCCTGAGAATTGAGGACCTGCATTAATGCTCGCAATCTTTATGTAATCGCCGTGTAAAGCGCGCGACACAAGATTCTTTATTTAGAATTAAACCCTTTAATCTTTCAGATAGACTTTGTTGATGCGACTTTGTTACGAGGATTCTTAATTGCTCTCCATCGTTATCTCACAACAATTTCTTTCTGTGTATTTTTCTTTTTTCTTCGTTCCTTCAATTATCTGCTTAAGCCATGTACAGCCGTCGTCATAGCGCAGCCATTTAAGTGGATAAAGACATTGTGTGGCGCGACTCGTGGACTTCCAACGGTGATTTAAATCAATTTTGTACCAACCTCATAAATCCCGTTTCTGCATTAGCTCTTCTTTTTGAATCATTTTTTTATCGCTCGTTGTTATAAAAAATCATAAATCCGATCTGTTGATCTTTTCAATTATAATAAGTTCCTGTAATTTGTCCTTAATGTGATCAGTGATTTATATGTTAATTAATGTAGGTGTAACTAATAGCTATAAAACGATGTAGTATTTTTTATCATAGAATTCACAAGACTTTAAGCAACAAAAGATTTCTCGTGATTATAACAGGCGAATTAACATGCGTTTGATTAAAGCAATATTATCACATATCCATACATTATCGCGAATTCAGCCGATACAATAGTGTGTAATTACTCGATCTGTATAGATAATTATATAGGAATAGTTTTTCTTAAAAAGAATCCCTTAAAAAATCTATTTAAAAAAAGAAAAAATATACGCCAAGGGCGTATAAAAAAGATATTGAATACATTCTCTTAATAAAAAACGGATGTGAAATAAATGTAACTAGCCAAGTATTTCATTACGCAAGACACATAAGATAGACTGAAAGTGATTAAAATTGTCAATATATTGTATTAAAAGATAATAAGATCGAATAATAAGAATCGAAGCATTTGTATTTGATTAACTTGAATTGTTAATATATTCCGGAATTTGATACAGCAAATTGATAAAATTATGTTTACCCGAAATGCTCGAAGAGTGATTTTTAATAGAAATTCGCCTACGTTGCCAAACTTCCCGGAATTTACCAAGCGGAAAGAATGCCAAACCACTCGAGTAAAATCATTGTGTTTGTGTCTGTCCAGGATAATAGTGTGTTTACATACTACCGCATCCTCAAGAAATAATTCAATCCCCAAGTAATTTAAGACATTCCGTATCGACATCTTCACTGATTTTTTTTTGTTTAACTATTTTTTTCTATCTTTAATTTTTCTATGATCGCAGAATGGCAAATTAATAATTAAAAATTTATACTATATTAAGGCAAAAAATAAAATTACAATTATCTATCATAGTGCTATACTATAGAAATCAAATAGTCCACCTAATGATAAATAATATAGAGAAATTTTTTTATTGACTTTTTATATGTATATACTTGCATAAATATTCTGTTATCTTTAAATTTTAGGTTTAGTTAAGCTCGGCATACATTGTGTGTTGGGCAAGAAGGTGGCAATCAAGATTATCAACCGCGAAAAGCTTTCGGAGTCTGTGTTGATGAAAGTGGAGCGTGAGATCGCCATTATGAAACTAATCGATCATCCGCACGTGCTCGGGCTCTCGGATGTATATGAAAACAAGAAATATCTGTAAGTACATTGATGAGAAAATGTAAAATTTTTAAGTTAATAAAGGCAAAAATATCACGCTTTCTTTCAAATTTTTTCAAGATATCTTGTTCTGGAACACGTCTCAGGCGGGGAGCTGTTCGATTATTTGGTTAAAAAGAGCAGACTGACCCCGAAAGAAGCGAGGAGATTTTTTCGACAAATAATTTCTGCATTAGATTTTTGCCACAGTCATAGTATATGGTGAGTCGCGTGTATTATCACTTAGCTTATAATTGTGTCTGTACGAAACAATCTCGGACTCGTTTGATTTTGTTATCACTTTTAGCCATAGAGATTTGAAGCCTGAGAACTTGTTGCTGGACGAGAAGAATAATATTAAGATAGCAGATTTCGGAATGGCGTCTTTACAACCCGCGGGCTCTATGCTGGAGACCAGTTGCGGATCACCTCATTACGCCTGTCCCGAAGTCATTAGAGTAAGAGCCCTCAATTACGATCAATTTGTGATATCAAATTACACAGAAATATTAAGCGAGTAATAACTACTTGGGTTCAATGTCATGAAATAACGTTTGCTTCCTTTTAATAGGGTGAAAAGTACGACGGCAGAAAAGCAGATGTATGGTCTTGTGGAGTAATACTTTACGCGCTTCTAGTAGGCGCCTTACCTTTCGACGATGACAATCTGAGAAAATTGTTGGAGAAAGTTAAGCGCGGATTGTTTTACATACCACATTTTGTACCGCCCGAGTGTCAGAATTTGCTCAGAGGCATGATTGAAGTTGATCCCGAGAAAAGATTAACGGTGAGCTCTTTTCTGCTTCTTAAAAAAAAAAAAAAATTGCAATATTCTCTTTCTCTCTAAACATGTTAACATCGGATACATGTATGTATTTACAAACGCTAAGACATTTTCTGAATAAATGTAAATTTTTTTTAGTTAGCAGAAATAAATAGGCATATTTGGGTAACGGCGGCGGGTAAGGGCGAGTTGGAATTGGAATTGTCGATGATGGACGTGGTGCAGACGCATGTTATTCCGTCCGTGGAAGCAATCGATCCCGACGTGCTACAAGCGATCGCAAGTCTTGGTTGCTTCAAGGAGCGTGACAAACTCATTCAAGAACTGCTCAGTCCAAAGTAAGATACAATATTCCTGTCTCGTAGAAAGACTTTGAATTTAGTTTCTGTTGAGTGTTGGAAAAGTATTGAGAAAAGCAACTGAGGAATCTGACGCACCAATATTCTCTCAGCCACAATACGGAGAAGGTGATATACTTCCTACTACTAGAGAGGAAGCGAAGAAGACCGGCGTGTGAGGACGAGCTCGAGGTAATGAGGAGTAGCATGAGAGGATCCGCGGGACAATTAGAGGCCGATCCGCCGAGAAAACGGGTGGATACATGTAGAGTGAATGGAAGTACCGCGCTCAATCTCGGACAAATCAGCCATGGCTCGCCTTTGACGCCTAGAAGACAATCGAGGTAAATAAGCGTGAATTTTAATAAAAACAAGTAAAAACATCAGAACGACAAGTCGTTTTTATATTCTTATTGTGTGAAGAACAAAGTCAAGAACACCCGCGTGTTTTGCCGATAAAATTAACGTGCCAACTGTACTCGGCGAAAACGTTCAGTGTAAAGGCAGCTGTGCGGTTCGCTTCAAACTGGCTAGCAATCGCGTGACAGCGTCAGTTATCTGCACATGTCGCGTGTAACCTATCACGTGTCTCCCCATGTTATTTTTTTCTCCCTCTTTTTTTGTCGATTCGTCCTGCATTTACAAACTTGAATTCGCGTCAGGTACGATTATCGAATTATATTTCAATTCGTTTATTTCATTCGATTAGATATCACAAAAAAAAAACATATTTTAATTGATACGTCTAACGTCTTTCGCATACAATTCGTGATTCCGTTAATTAGATTGCTAATTATTTGCAGCACGAGACATCACGCGCGTCGATCACCGAGCACGGGTGGATGCCACACTCATGCGTCTCATTCGCACACGTCAACGCCGGGTAACTCGCCGTTGCATGCACCTGCAGGTCTACTGAGTCCTCATAGAGCAGTGCCGACGTCGCACATGGGCCAGACTATTACCTGCGGTGCACACAGACTGTCCCTTGGTGGCAATACCGCCAATACTATCGCCGGAAACGGTAGCCCAACGAGTCAAAGTGTCCCGACGCCGACGCCGGCGCTTGCCAATGTTGGTATTGAACTCAATGAAGTGCAGCCAGGTAAGTTTAGCATATCGGGTGTTTAGTCTCTACAAAAAGTGGTTGGAATTGGAAATTTTCCCGGGAAAAAAATGTTATAGACATAAAATAGACATATTTCATATATACAATAATTATATATTGTATAATTGTATATAAAATATGTCAATTTTTTGTACTATAATTATATATAATTTTATATAATAATATATGAAACGATTGAGAGAATAAAATCGATATTCGATTTCTATTTAAAATATAATTTTATTGTTTAATGTAAATTTCTCATTTTATCATAATTATTTTTTAAAAACATGTCTACTTTTTATTAAAATAATTTTTGATCCAAGTCCTAAAACACCGTCAAATTTTTTGCAATAAATTAATTTCAAATGCAATACAGGAAAAATCTTTTCTTCAAAATACGCTCTTCAAACATTTTCAAATTTTAATTGCTTTATATATATGTGTGTATGTCGTGCACAGACACAGTTGTGGATTATATTGAAGAGACTGTATTGTATAACACCGATTATCACTTAAGCTAACTGCTGTTCTTAGAGCCACTATACCGTAAGCACGGCAGATCATATTACGTTAAGTGTTCTCGTATTTATCACATAATCGCAAGATTGTGTATTAATATTTAAACACAATATTCAATGTGATCATGTAGATTAAAATCTTACATTTTACCAAACGTTATTCCGAGATATATTCCGATACTCACACTATAATTACAAAATTGCGTAATTTAACTTCACACGATAGACTTTCTCCTTATTTCGATTAATCGTCACGTAATAATTATATTTTGAATAAAAATTTTGGAAGATAAATTAATTACGAAAAGAAAAGAAATAAGCTAACGTTTTAATTTTTAGATAAGTCGAGTACATACATGTATGTTTTTAAGATATAGCTCGTTTCTCAGTAGTTGCGGTCGGAGTTACACCGCCGGGGTCGCCTCACACTGGAGCGGGATCTGGAGCTCATCATTGGAGATCGCGATTAACCACGATCAAGAATTCTTTCCTGGGTAGTCCCAGGTTTCATCGTCGTAAATTGCTCACTAGTACCGAGGAGGTATGGAGTAATAGATAAAGATATAATTTATTTCTTTTCATTATGTAAAATTGTTCAACATTGTGTCATATTATTTAATATTCTATCAATTGCAATGTTTGTTATTATCGAATTGCATTTCTTTGATTAAGTAATCTAGGTTCTTCTTTTTAACAAAATTTTTCTGAAAAAAGATTAGTTTAAAAGTTATATCATAGTATAGTGCAGTTGTTATTATTTATGATAATCCTAACGTTACGTTTATCGTCAAGTTTCCATTGCATATAGGTACATCTCACGCCGGATTCTTCGCCGGAACTTACAAAAAAATCATGGTTCGGTAGTTTGATGACTACGGAGAAAGATGAAACCTTCACCGTTTTGGTCAAAGGAAAACCGCTAGCCAGTGTAAAAGCTGATCTAATTCACGCCTTTTTATCGGTAAGTGCACCAAAATTTATTGTCCATTTTGATATAAGTTGCAAGTATAAGTGACTATTATCTATTTAAAATACTTACGAGAATTACAATCAACAGCAAAGTACTCGAGAAAATTCGTTAAAACATGCATTAAAAATATTTAATGGATTTGAAGAAATTTAATAATTTATGATTATAAGTCAATATATGACTTTCAGAATCCTTTCTGTTAGAATTTTTATTACAACTTTTATAAGTATATCAATTTAATTGATCTCTCTGATCTTAGTTATTCAATTTGAGATAAACTGGACGCTTACAGATAGCAGAATTATCTCATAGCGTGAGCTCGCCAATGTCGTTCAGAGTGGAGTACAAAAGAGGTAGCACCGCCCCAGCCATGTTCCAGAGGCAAGTGCGATTTCAAGTTGACATTAGCGCAATCTCGAAGCAGCCGAATGAGCCCCTCTTCGCCATTACCTTTACATTATTGAGCGGTAAGCATACAGTCACGTTCTTCGCGACTTTTCCTTCGATTAGAAAAAGTCGATTAGAATCTTTGCAATTCTTGAACCAAATATGGCACAAAAATCAAAGAAACAAAAAATGTTGACTGAAGGGTTCTTCGACAAGTACGAAAGCTCTCGCGAAAATATAAATCACCGGGATGGTGAGTCGCCTCGCTGTTTTGCGTTTGGCAATCATCCAAGCGCAACTAGATCGATGTTACCTTGGCACACACAGTTAATATATACATATAATTTTATGTTCTATCCACATATGTATATATTCTACGTTCGGTCTGTCGTAGAACGCAATGGAGTCTGGTCTTTTTTTTTGATAAAGCTTTAACCTCTGACATGCCGGAGTCGTTCGAGCTCATAAATTCAATTTGTCAAAAGCACGCTATATAAAATTCAATATTTTAGTAAGCAAAAGCAATCTACGCTCGAAACACATTCAAACGTTAATTTTCAAGGAAGTCATATTAATTCTTAACTTGCTTATGGTCCTCTGTTTTTCTCAAAAAATTAAATATTGTCAAATTAAGTGATCGTCAATGAAGTCAATTTGATATTCGCAGGAAACATTCGAAGATTCAGGCGAGTATGCGAACATATCCAATCTCAGGTGTGTTCAAGAAATGTGAGTATGAACTTGGGAGGACAAAGCAGAGCCGCGCCGCCTAGTCCGAGGGCCTCCAGAAAGTTCACCACAGAGATGAGCGAGAGTTCCAGCTGTGGCAGCGATACCAGTGAACGACTATTTCTTAGTCCTCACCCAGCTACCAGACAGGTAGTCTGTTTCAATAAGGTAGCGCATCATTCTTATCATCTTTATTTTCATTATATCATCGTCATAATAATCACTTTGGAATGTCTATTTTATTGAAATCTCAAACAAAAATTTTTTCATCGAGATAGTATTTCATAAAACCACATAATTCCTTTTTCATTCATAATCTAGATTGACGTTATCTAAGTTGTCATTTATTCTACATAAATAATTTCAATCAACCGCTTTCTTTAAATGTAATTAATGGAAGATTAAAATTTTTTTCAATTTTATTTAAAGCTATTGTAGAAATTTGTGTATGGCGAATATTAAAAGAGAGCAACTTTGTATCATCAATTAACAGATTATCGTATCGGTTTTAGATCGATTCGGACATCGAATCGGACACGTCTGTATTTGACGTGAAATCGCCGACCCGCGAGAACGGTAGAAGAAGTTCGACGTCGACGAATAATAACAATGCCTTGTCGGGCGATACAACACCAACGCCAGGCAGCCCGCCAAAAGCGGTTCGAAGTAACTCGGAGAGTCAAAACACGCCTGAGAAAAAATGCGTGACCACAATGAGCGGCAACAACATAGCGTGATACTACCAGAATCTTCGCTTCGAATTCCGTTCAAGTCTAAAGAGCCTATGGGACAGCGCTCAGAGATTCTGGTGAGGTTTCCTCTGACGAACGCTTCTAACGCTTTAAAAGAACTGCAGAAAATGCGTGAGACACATCTATATGCGTAATACAATGCAACAAACAAAATTGAGGTCTAACATCGTGAATCTTAGTCATCGTCAGCAGTAATAGCGAAAATAATAGAGAGGTAACAGTGATGATAATACATTTATCAAATTTGCATTGTGTAATTCGAAACATCGAAACCTTTAGTGCGAGCTCCCTTCATTCTCAAAGTTCAAAAAAATTTAATTTTGTTTCGAACGATACGTGCGTAAACATTTTCTTCAAACAATTCAAAATTAAACGCTAGAAGAAATATTAAATGACATTAAATACAATCATTGTAGTCTGCGTTTATAAGATAAATGAATTTCGAGAGAGACATTTCCAAATTGCCTCCAGATAAAATCGCCGAATGGCATATATATTTCAACAAATAAGCCTACATAAAAAATTACACAAAGAGGAAGTTTCATGATTATACACAAGAAGAGAAATGTAAAGTATATTTAAAAAATATGTTTCGTGCGAAATTTAAGTACAATAATGTAACGTTATTGTATTATTTCGCCCCCCACAATGAATGTCACTGCAAAATTGCATCGCGCTGTGTTTGTGTTAAAAAAAATGGCACTTTTACGTTTGGACGCATTTCATTCATTCATTATAGAAAAGACAAACACTGTTGCTTAGAGAGTATTACATTATTATCCCGATACATTATAAATTATTCGTTTTGTTATAATTTTTATTTATTTTTTTGTTCGCTTGTTGCATAATTTTTTATTTGCAGCTTTATTATATCAATCTTCTCATCGCAATCTATTCTCATCACAAATCAACCACATTTCAACATCCAACTACATTGACACGATCTGGCGCGAAAAATGTCCCGAGAATTTTATTTTTTCACACACGACGGAGAAGAAAGATAGATACTGAGAGAGAGAGAGAGAGAGAGAGAGAGAGAGACAGAGAAAGGTTTCCGATTTTAAAAGATAATAATAAATATACACGCAAGTCTCACGATCGTACGAAGCGTAGATATTCGTTTGCTTCTCACAAGAAGAAAAGCAAAGAACAGTGAAGTCGTTGATGGCATACGAAATTCACCGCGAAGCGATTGAGGGCTAACGCGTTGCTGAATGTATAACTCATATAGAAAAAAAAATATATATAAAAGCAGTAAAAACTGCATTTCCCTAAGCGATATAAAGAATAAGTAGTTTTATCATAAAGTTATTCTCAACACAGACATATCTCGAGATTGTCCCTATTGGCTTCTTAGTAGAAAGCGATATAAGGTGTATAAATGCGCGTTTAGCATCGTTTTTAAGCGAAGATTTGTTATATAAGGCTACATCGTGATATATGTTTACGAAGAAAGGAGGAAAAACTAGATAAAGTTACGGAGGAAATAACGAGCGTTGAGCGCCCGGATATTCTCAAAGATCAATATCTTGGAATCGATTGATTTTTTGAGAGTGTGATGCGGAAAAGAAATTATCCTTGATAATCCAATAATCTTCAAAGTTTACACGATTAGGATTAGATTAATAGGTGAGAGCGAAAGTGCATAAACGTTCGCACAAATCAAAATTGTGACTTTTTTTTTTTTTTAAATGTACATTGGATCTTCCGATAGGCGCTCTCGCTTCAGATATTACCTACGTATTATATCGCGCATGTGGCGACTCGTTCCTATATATAAATGTCCGAGGGCTATATCTTTATAATCGATTAACAATACGGAAAAGAACAACTAACGATCTACTCTCCGTTGCATTTTGGAGTAGCAAAATTCCGCGAGACGCAAAACGTGATGGTGTTTTTCGGCTAAAGGCTCAGCTAACGGCAGATGCATTGTCATTCCGCATTATTAAGCAAAAATACATAATGCAATACTGTAAAAGAGATTTAGCTGGACACGTATCGAAAATATTATCCCGATGAAAAATGCGTGGGTGAAATTTTATGAAAAGTCGTTAATCCTTAACTATTTTCAATTTTTATAGTCGCTCGTATTATTAGTGATGCATAGACATTTATTAACTTTTTGAGGGACTAACAAGAGAGGGAATTAGAATATTATTTATCTATAATCTATATGCAAACACCAAATTATATAGATAAAATGTAAATATTTTCCTTTTTCTCGCTTTCCAACAATTCTTTTTTATTGCCGTATATTGAGAGAAAAATGTTTCGTATTTATAACTATAATTATATGTATACTATGATTATTACTGCTATAATGATAACAGTAGCTATATACCTAAAATGATTATAATTATAGTTATTATAAAAAATAGTTGAAATTACCATAAAAATGATATAATCATATTTTTTATGGTTGCCCCAAAACATAACTGTAAAATTATAGTCACTTGAATCATTTTTATGATAATTTCAACTATTTTTTATAATAACTATAATTATAATCATTTTAGGTTGCCAACTATATACATTTGTTGCTAGAACTATACACATAGTTACTGTTATTGTCATTATAGCAAAAATAATCATAATTAGCAATATATAATTATAGTTACAAATACCAAACATTTTTCTCTCAGTGTAAGAATAAATCGTTCAATATGGCTATAAAGAAAGAACAAACATTAATTAATATCAGTAGTTAAAGATTCGAATGAATTATCATCGAGATTATCATTTTTATTGTTAATCATAGGATAATTATATCGAGAAGAATAGAGACGAATGTCATTACTCAAATATAAATGCGATTAATCCGCGAAAAAGCCTTTGTTATTTTCTATGCGCATAACTCGCAAAAAGAATGACGATATTCTCTGAAATCTCTTAATAATATAAATTAATTTTCTCTGTTTTTTAATAATTTTACACTGAGAAATCGGACTGTGCACGAAATTGATTACGAGAATGAAAATAATAGAGAAAGAGAAAGAGAGAGCATGTGAGCGTGCGTTTTCATGTATGAGAAAAAAAAAAGGAAAGAATGAAAGTTCTTGTTACATATTAGAAGATGAATGTGAATTTAGTATTATCAATACAAACACAGACATACACACGTACCACTACATATAATTAAAATTATCATAAGCTTGCAATTATCTATTTACTAATTGCGGTTAAATATAAAACTATTCATACAGTGCGTAAGTATATTATAATAACAAAAAGGGAGAAGAAAGAGAAAGAGAGGCGAAATAGTAGGTGAACGGACGTGGTTACAGAGAAAAAGAGAAAGAGGATGTAAAACAAATTACCGGCCATATTAAATTAGGATTTTATATTGTGCGAGTCTGTGAATGTAAGCGGAGGAGAATTAAAATAACTTCGATATGCAAATCTATATTAGCAATTCAAGCAAATTACACAGTACAGTTTCGCGTGTGAGGATATAAATTTCAGACAAATCTCGAGAAGAAATCTCTGTTTTCTGTTTCGTAAAAGGCAAAACTGAGGGGAATCCGCGTGATATTTTCGTAGATCGAGCCAGAGTATCAGGACGATACTTTGCGCAATACAGATGATAGGAGTGCGTTGTTATCGATCCTCGACAAAATATCACGCCAATAACTGTGCCGCTAACGTAAAATCGTTAATCTCTTGTACGAAGGAAAGAACAGAAGATTACTCGCTATCTCTCACGTGTCTCCAATTTATTTTTCGATTCGCTTTTGCGCGCTGCGAGACGCCGCGATCTAGCGTGCGAGCGATCTCGTGATCGGTTCTCGTGTACGCGAGATGATTGTTATCCGCCCGAAGAATTTGCTTAATAGCGGTGACGTAGCACGAGCACGAATATCGATTGTATGTCACTGTACAGCCAAATGCGATTTTGAGACTTGCAATTTATTCAGTCGAACGACAAAGTCGTTCTTATTCGCGAGATGATTTATATAGTGAATTCAATCACTCGCACTGCATTAGATTATTATACATTAAAGGCTGCTTTATATAAAATAATTAATACAGTAGCATTATAATCAACGTAACAATTGAATAATATATGCATATATTTTAATTTTTTAACTCTTAAACGTCTTTTCGGTATATAGCACATCTTTAATTTCTTTTTCCATTGCTTATGACTTTTTTGTTAATGAAGGTACATACAGAGATACCATTACATTCCTTAATTTTATTCAGTCTTTTGACTGAATAAAATTGTTTACAATACGTTCATTTTTATGAAAGTTATAAGCAATCAAATTAGGTTGGGTAGTGGCGTTCAATAGTGCGGCGTTTAAGGATTAATAAATATACCATTATTTAATTAAATATCATTATTGAACATTTAAAATATTTATATGCTTTTACATTTAACTTTACTGATTTCATTATAGTATAGCAGCTTTTAGTACGCACTATAATCTAGTATAATGCAAGTGATGCTATAAGTTTCGGATCCATCTCTTCACGTGTTCGCGCCGATCTTTTTGCTGGATGACCAAATATTAAAAATAATAATCGTTAAGAATGTCGAATCGGTAACGAGCGAACGTGTACCCGATAGCTTGGAGCTCGCGCGCAGATCGTAGGAAAATTGTCTCGTCGCAAGAGAGGCGCGCAGGTCTGCAGGCATTATACAAATTCCCGACGTATCGTATTCGTAAGGCATTATAAGCTAGGTTGAATATAGAAAATTTTTATACAATTTATAAGACAATGCAATTTGCGCATGCGACCGATTAATTTATTATTCACGCACGTTTCCTTGTTGGCGTTTTTGTTAATTAAATGTGCACTATATTTTTCTCATTCGGGGCGTGAATCCCGCGGCTGTCCCGCTAACAATGAGTTTCGCGAGTTCCGTCGCGATCGAAACGGACGACGTGCTACAGTGGTACGCTCGCTCCTCTGAGTTCTAAACGTTATTTTCCCTCAAATTAAATATGTTTCACGCCTTTAATTATGTTGTAAATAATTCGTGGAACAAAAAAATGATGAAAAGATTCTCGCTCTCTTTGTTCAGTCTTACGTATTTAATACATGTAGTATAAATGTCGATGCAATCTCTCTAAACTCTTCGGAGTGAAATCTCACTCTTAGAAATCTGACAAACGAATCACTCTTTTTGGCTCAACACCGGCTCAATTGTCACTCTTTGTCACTCTTTAGAATTAGATTCCACTCCAAAAATTTTAGAGAGATGTATAGGACTCAGAGGGAAATAAGAAAATGGCGACGGAATTGCGCGGGTCGCCGCGACGTGCCTCGTGTCGTCCTCGTATTCCTCGAGGACGCGTCTTATCTATTATGTAAGATAGCTCTTGTCCAAGTGAAAAATTCCGCGTGGTTTATTATTATCATGTGTGTGCTTCTCCCTATATCGCGCATCCATATAATAATGTTTATCGTGCGTCTTTCGCGATCTCTCAGCGCGAGCGTCGCGCTTATCGTGTGTATGTATATATCTATCTCTTTGACTGTCATTTTGATTTTTCGTAGCCGAGACAAACGACGAGGTCCAATTAGTTTTAGCCAAGATTTAGTAAAAGCGGAGAAGAATAAAAGCTCGCGAATATTCGTGATAATCGAAGTTGAAATCTGGACAACAAGAATGTCTAAGATCGATATTCATAGTCGATTCTTATTTCAAGACCGTCTTAAGTAATGTCTTAAGACGCTAATACAACCTTCCGATTGATTCATGATTTCTTAAGACCGTACTTAAGATTGTCTATATCTAATATAAGATCTGACTATGAATACCGGCCTAAGAGACATCCTCTTTCAGACATTCGAGTTGTCACATTGCGATGCAAGCCGCGACTAGAAATATCCCCCAAAACAGCGCTTCTTTTTACGGTATACATCGCGTTCAATTACGCTTCTCAGTTGCAAACGATGCATCACCGATCGCTGCATCGCATTAATCGCCAGATCTCATAAATCAGCACGTATACCTCTTGTCCTCTTATCATCGCTCATAAATCACGTAGATCATAATTAGTATACGGGACTCGAGAGATCGTGTTGGGTACCATCGATGATCGACGAAGATGGAGTGGCTTTCTCGCAGAACTGCGTGAACGCCTTTCTCGAATCAAAAATTTTAAGATAACGAACGAGAGTGTCAAATTGATCGTGCATCACTAGAGCAGTAACGAATAACGTTCGCAATCGAGTAGAATAGAGATTGAAAAATCGAAATCTCTTGATGTAAAATTGACATAAGGACGATTTAAGTATATCGATCCGAATTTAAAATTAAACATTTATGCAGGAAGGAGCCGTGATTGAAAATATAATTCTCCAACAGTCATCTTAAAAGAGCATTGCAGTTTCATTTGAGAAAGAAAAACTGCAGTTTCACCACAAAAATAAGTAACAGGGAATAATAATAATAATTCCTGGATATATATTGACAATTAATTTTTTTCAATAGTCGCTTTGCATATTTAGCAATATTTTATAAAATTTACGACTAATTCCTTTCTTCATAATTATGTTGTATAAAAGGGAATGCTTTCTTTCCCTTTCGATATCTTACTAATTTTTCTTTTCATCATGCAACAGCAAATGCGCCGCGGAACGTAAATAATTTTCCAAATCTCCTCCCTCGCATTACGGGCTTCTATCTACAAGTAGTCGCGTGTACGTAGTATGTGCTGAATATTTAGTGACGTCCAGACAAACTGACAATAACGGCTGTGAGTGAGCGGTATTCTTTTCAGCAAAAATCTATTGTAGCGTAAACCGCGTTCCGCTCGATTTGCCTGTGTGAATCGGATGATCACCATGTCCGATCGATATCACTATATCACACACACACACACACACACACACACGCGCACACGCACGCACGCACGCACGCACGCACGCATATACATAAAAATATGTTTAAACATACACAGACACGTATATACATAAACACATAGCGCATGCACGTATCGATTGATTTTTATACTATATCAGAATTATAATATACTTCTCTTCGGCTTATATGGTCCAACTCTCTAAATTTCTTGGAGTGAAATCGCACACTTCATAAAAGAGTTAAAATATTACCACTATAAAAGAAGTAAAAACATTCACACTCTTGAATAAGAGTGACAGATTTTCTGGAGTGAGATTTCACACTTTTGGAGTGAAATTTACTAAAAAAAGAAAAGAATAAGATTTATTTTCTTTCAAGTGAATCTCTCTCCAAAGAATGAAGATCTGCTATTCATATTAAAAAAAAAGAGTGTAAATATTTTTACTCTTTTTCAATAGTGACAGTTTCACTCTTTTGAAGTGAGATTCCACTCCAAAAGTAATTTAGAGAGAATTATATCGATCCGCTTCGAAATGCGAGATACGTATCGCGTTTCTCTTTGTAGATAATTTCCGAGAACTCGACACTTACAGCCTGAAACCGCATTCTAGTAATCTGTTATAGTAAACCACGTTTCGGGAAAATTCCGAGGGCTCACTTATATTACATCACGAGTACATCTTACTCGAACGTCGTACCAGATTCATGCAATTAGCCTGAGAAAAGGAAGAAAAAACGTTGAAATTCGATGCACTCGCAGTCAACTATTTTTTTACGAATGATAAAAATTGCCCTTGCGATTGTATGCCGATATTGATATAATAAGCGATATTAATTCATTATGTATGGACGATTAGATAATTCCCTTCACACGCGAATTATAACGGTAACATGCGTACGGATTGTGATGCGTTGAAACATGCGTCACAAACCGATGAAAGAAATGAATTACATACACACAAGTATACACACACATACACTTTTCAACAATCGTCGATCATTCGAGATAAAATTTTTGTTCTTGCGGATACATGATAGTTTCGTAGACATAATACAATGTTAAAAGCGCGGCACGCTAGCACATATTTATTTGCGTAATTTTTGTTTGAAAAAAAAAAAAGAAGAAAAGAGAGGATAGCGCGCGTGACGCAGCACGAGATTTTGCGAATCTGTACGCGCGCCAAGTGATTAATTTTTCGTCACGATTCATCGCGTCGAGTATGCATGTGTATGTTCTACATTGTTTTACTTGAGTCTTATTTGTTGAATATCGATTTACGCGATGTTTTTACCTACCTATCGCGCGTTGTTCCAATACGCACGTCGTTTTAGTACGGAGCGATTGGAGAGAACGACGATGTATAATAATTTAGGGCGATATGATTATTACTGGTAGTCACATGTCACACGCAATGACTATGAATTATTATGTATTATTATTATATTATTATATTATTATATTATTATTATTATTATTATTATTATTATTATTGCTATTATTATGAAAATATATCACGTTAGTTTTTGGACAAACGAATAAAAACACTAGGGGTGGGGGAAATAAAAAATTGTAACATATTTGTTGATGGCCAATATCAAATATGTATAAAAGTAATAATAATATAACATTAATAATAAACAGATATTATTAAATCCTCTCGTTTTGTTAATGGAATCACACAAGAACCTAGTTTTTTTTTCTAAAATCTAGATATTATTAATTCCGATTTGGATGATGCAGCGATAAAAGTGTAAAAATTTGTTTTTCCATCGTTTAACAAACAGTGATTTTACCGACAGTAATACCTACGAAGTTTCAACTGTAAGGTGAGTACAGATAGAGTATCAAATGTGATTCGTAAGACATGAAATTTTATTTTTGGAGGCTCGTTTATCATTCTATCTTAAACGAGAAAAAAACCAATTTAACACAAAGAGAATTTTTTTAAAGATTTCTTTCAAAAGAAGATTCACTGCATTATATGAAATAAATTGTATTAAGAACGTATTACATAGAATATAGTGTGTAAAAAATTAATTTTAATTTTAAGAAATTATCGGAATATACATATAATATGTATATGTTATACTTGTAAACATATTTTTTGGAAATACAATCTTTTTCAATACAATCAATTCCAAAAGAAAAAAGTGAAGAAATACCTTAAAAAAAGATTCACTAAATCAATAAATATAGTTTGTAGTAAATATTAAAGAATAAAGAGAAGAAAGAAAGAGAGAAAGAAAGAGAAAGAGAGACAAAGCTCGATCGGAGCGAAGAAACGGCGAAAGAGATGAGCGAGAAGAGGAGAATTCGCTATATATTCGATCTGTATCGTACCGTGTACGAATTGTCACAAAGAAATTCGTCGCGTGGCAGGAATCTCGCTCTTTTGTGGAGATTCGCTCGTTTCTCGAGAGGGGATCGACGGAGAGACAAGGAGAAGCAGGTAGAGTGAAGCAGAGGCCGAAGGGGACGATTTCGCGATCGCGTTTCCGCCACCGCCGACCGCGTCGCGACTCTGCTCGGCTTCGATGCCAAAGAGCGAAGCGCTGTTATGACTCGAGTTCAGCTCGGTCATCCTCGTCGTCCTCGTCGTCGTCGTCGTCGTCGTCGTCGTCGAGGTCGTCGAGGTGAATCTACCTTGCCGCCACGCCGTCCCGCGCCGCGCCGGTTCGACGTTAAAACTGCTCGCAACACGTGCGAGAATCTCGATTCGGTCCCGCGTGGTTTTTACCTTATTAATTCTTTCCGCGTCCGGTGTTCGACGCGACGTATATACCGATCCGATCCACGTTATCGCGTTTACTGTTCACGTCACTTCAACCCCGTTTGTTTCCTTCAAGATCATGAAATGGTACGTATGTACGAGTATATCAATGCACTTGCCGATTAATTAACGCGACGTCGAATGTCGCGCCAAGTGATCGTATCGCGATGCTATCGATTGAATCTAACTTCACTGTGTAATTTTGCTTTTTGCAAATGCTTTTAGAGACGCTAACTGAAGCGTATGATCGTGCGTTACTGTTTGGTGCAATGAAGAGTTACGATATCACGTATCTGTGGCAAGCGTATACTAATTTCTGTTCAATATACACACATTTCAAACAAATAAATTACAAATCTTTGCCAGAGCGTTAAACTTAACCGTTTTGGAATACTTCCCGAATATATTATGTATAATCATAACTAAGAGAGATGTCTGGATTTAACACTTCTCTTATAAATAGAGAGAATAACGCAAATTTCTCGCTTTCAGCGCAGATCGAAAATCGCGCATGGCTATTCCTGAAACTCGGAAGCTGTCTATGAAAATGGAAAAGACACGCGACTTTTCTTTCATCTCGCTTCGCTTATCATTTTCTCCTGAAAACAAGAAATGTAAATAATTTAATCAGGGCTTTTTTCATATTTTTATTTTCGTAGTTTAGAACAACTTCAAAAGCGTTCGCGCTAATTCTACAATCTAGAATTATTTATTTAAAAATTAAAATAGTTTGGTAAATCGAACATCATCGATATAAAGCGCAGATAATTAAGAAACAATAAATTAGATGGCGACAATAACTTCGAATGTGTAATTATATAACGATATAATTACTGTCTATTTTAGTACCGAGAGGTATATGTCTTATTAAAATTTCTTTAAATAATCTCGTTGCCCCATATATTCTTTAAATCATATTGCCATTATTCGATAACAAATCGTACTATGCATAATAATTTACGTATGGAATTATAGATTATCGCGATATCCGTACGTAATTCAAGTAAATAGGTAATGGTAACGAATATCGCTTGCTTATTTAGATAGAGCGAAAATCAAAGTATTCCGCGTTCCAGGCTATTCTTATTTACGCGCAGATGTTTGCAACGTCGGCTCATAATTGGTCCGTGCGGAATAAGAAAACGGAGTGAGAGAAAAATGGAAACAAGTTGGAAAAGTTGCCTGGCGTGGAGGAAGATGCTGCTTGGTGGACGAGTATATTATATGCCGAGTGGGGCCGTTTAAAAATAGACGTTTAAACTTAAATTATGCCCTCTAGCAAAGGGAGCCGCGAGAGCGAGCGGTCAAAATTTTATAAGCGCTTTACGCCTTAAATATAACCGAAGGATATCGCCAATGGGGAAATGTTTTTTCGATCCGTATAATTGTGACAAGAGATTGCAAAATTAATGTTTGCGAATTAAAAGTATAATTACATGAAAAAAATAGCGAGAGTATTTTTCCTAATTATTCTGCTGTAATTAATAGCTATAGATCTTACCTTTCGTTAAATTACACAATAACGGGTAATCGAATCTTTAATTAGAATTTATTACGTGTGTGTGTATATATATATATATATATATATATATATGTGTGTGTGTGTGTATACGTGTAGGCGGAGGTATCATTACCGTGTATTTGCGCTCGTCTACTGTCCAGCTGTCACAAAAAAATGCCGTCTTCTTAAAATAATTTAACAGTTGACGCGGAAGAATGTGCCGTGTGCGACTCTACTCGCGACTTGCGGCCAATTCTTACGAATTTAATAAGCGGTTCTGAAGCTTGCAGCCTAATACGGCTCGATTATAAATAACCGAGTGTTCGTAAAAGAATAATGTAATTATCCTCGACACGATTGATGATTCATGAGAAGTTGGCTGCATTACGAACTCGATGGAACTCGAGTCTCGATTTGTAATGTCTACCCACGTAAATTGCAATTATTGCAAACTGCAGGAATGGGCAATGAATCTCTCTGGCGATCTTCTTTTCCACAATTAGAGTCGCAATGCAGCTCCACGAAAGGAAAGATTGTCGCGCCGATGCGTTTACTTCAGTTTACTTGACCATGCAGAACTTTTAACGCGGTAAGGGAGATCTACGCGAAAGATCTATGAGAAATAATAAAGCCGCGAATAATAAAGGGGCGGAGAAGGACGCCGAGGAGCGGCGTTAGGCGTCGCTGGCGCGAGTCAGTGCGGAGTCAGCTCGAGTAGTGGGCGCGAGTGGGCGCGGGCGTGAAAGCGAAAAGGACGAGGAAAATGAGAATTAGCGAGAGCGAGAGCGAGAGCGAGAGGAGAGGAGAGGAGAGGCATGGCACGGCACAGCACTCACGAGTGTGCATCGATCGTGGTGCAGCGCGCGATATCTCCCGGCGGTTTCGCGCACTACGACTCTCGTGTGGTGCGAAATTGAAAGATGGCCGTCCCGCTGGCATTTGACGGCAACTTTTACAGCAGCCGCACTACGAGCGAATTGGAGCGAGTGATCGGCTACGCGGCAATCCGAGAGCGTTGCGCGGACGGCATTCCGGCCAGCAGGAGGATGGCGGCGAGAAGATTGTGAAGCAAGTTGTGCGCGCGCGTTGTGCGACGGCCGTCCATCGAGAGAGTACGTCACGCACAACGAGTAACGTCGACGTCGCACCGCGCCGCGCCGACCGCCGTCAGCGCGGTGTTTCTAGCAGACGACATTGTTAGTAAAAATAAAGTACTATTGTACATATATATATATATATTTATATATATATATATTTGGATCGGGAGTGTGAAAACAGGCAAAAACCGCGTTCGTCAACGTTCGTTTCCGCGGCGAACGTCCTATCGCGCCGTGACGCGACTATTAATTGGTCGTAGGCGGCGAAGAAGCTCGCTTTTTATGCCGCGCCTCATGTCGATCTACCGTCGATCGCCAACGATGGTCGCTCGCGCCCGTCGACTTCTCGGCACCGCCAGTCAACAACGAAATTGCGAAAAAGAATCGTACGTGCCCGACAGCCTCAATTGATTTCCGTGACATCCGTTAGTCGGCGAGTCGAATCATCACGCTGGCAGAGTAACGATCGCTAAGCCGAACGAGAGGCGTAAGAAAGAGAGAAAGAGAAAGAGGGAGAGAGAGAAAGAGCCAAGTCGCGAGCGATCGAAGGATCACTTGATATGGAGGTTCGCTTCAGGACCGAATAATAAGAAACCGAGCCAGCAACACTTTTCTCTCGCACGCAATCATGGCTGCCTAGCACAGGGCGCGTATCGACCAATTTTGTCACTTCAGGTTAAAATCGTATTCGTATTCTCGAGATGCGTTTTGCATTGACAGCTTGTGTCGTCGGCGCGGTGACCAGTGGTGACCAGCGGTGACCAGCGCTGTCACGCTGCGTTGTGTCTTCATATATTTATCACATAATCTGTCACTTGCATTTTCCAGGCCTGCGAATCATACCGAGGATTTGGCGTTGAGGAATGTAGGCGACGAAAGCACGGATCAAAATAATAATATAACTATGACGAGCGAAGACCTGCTGCAGCCCGGCCATGTGGTCAAAGAGCGTTGGAAAGTTGTAAGCTTCTTTTTATTATTCTCATGTGTATGCTCCAAGAAATTCACTATTTGTCATTACTACTTTTAACAAAATGAGTCATTTAAAGAGATACTTTTACATCAAAGGAGACAATATATTTTTTTTTATATCGATGTAATTTTTTGTTTGAAGCAATTCAAACTAAATATAATATATAAAAACAAGAAAAAACATGTATTTTTAATATATAGGTGAGAAAAATAGGTGGAGGTGGATTTGGTGAAATTTACGAAGGTCTTGATTTAATGACGAAGGAACAAGTTGCCCTTAAAGTCGAATCTGCACGGCAGCCAAAACAAGTCTTAAAGATGGAAGTAGCTGTATTAAAAAAATTACAGGGTTAGTTTACAAAGTCTTTTCCATTAAAGAGATATTTATATTCATAAAATTGAGTCAAGTTCTTTATTTTTGGATTATTATATTAAAAAAAATTACTGCGCGTTTTAGGTAAAGACCATGTTTGTCGTTTTATTGGCTGTGGACGTAACGATCGATTTAATTATGTTGTAATGCAATTGCAAGGAAAGAATTTGGCTGAATTGCGCAGGGCGCAACCGCGAGGAGCTTTTTCACTTTCTACTACATTACGTCTTGGTCTTCAAATTTTGAAAGCTATAGAAAGTATTCATCAAGTGGGATTTTTGCATAGAGATATTAAACCTGTAAGTGTACATTGTTAGTTACATACAAAATTATTTACGCTTTTATTAAATTATACATATTAAAATTGTACCATTTTTTAAATATTAATATTCTATCTTACAGTCGAATTTTTCAATTGGTCGCCATCCTTACAACTCCAGACTAGTATATATGTTAGATTTTGGTCTAGCTCGACAATTTACTACCAGTACAGGAGAAGTGCGACCGCCTCGTGCTGCCGCAGGATTTAGAGGAACCGTCCGATATGCGTCAGTCAATGCACATAAGAATAAAGAGATGGGCCGACACGATGATTTATGGTCTCTGTTTTATATGCTAGTCGAATTCGTTAATGGACAATTGCCTTGGCGAAAAATAAAAGATAAAGAACAAGTAAGTCTGCGAAATTTTCACATAAGATACAGATGTAGTTTTATCTATATATTTATCTATACACCATACGCACGCACACACATATATATATGTATATATTTATGTATATAAAATTAGAAAAGCGTTATTAAAGTTCATAATATCTTGTATAGGTGGGTCTTATGAAAGAGAAATACGATCATCGATTACTTTTAAAACATCTCCCATCTGATCTACGAGTTTTTTTAGAACACATTCAGGTAATCTCCGATATGATTCGAACTTACATGATAAATGTTTATCTTTGTAATAACAAAACACTTGTAATCCTTTCATAGAGTTTGGAATATGCAGATAAACCAGATTATGGTATGTTAGCTGGTCTCTTTGAACGATGTATGAAACGTAGAGGTGTAAAACCAAATGATCCCTATGATTGGGAAAGACCATTAATAGCTAATGAAAGTTTATCAACTACTAGATCATTACCTACAGTAGCTGTACCACCCCCTCTTACCACAGCTACTACCCTCAATCAGCCTCCGACTACGAATGTAGATACAAATAATCAAGAGAACGTGGAACCGGATAACAGAAAAGAATTAGATGTAAGAAATAAAAAAAACCATAAATATCTTTATCTTATTTATTTTAAATTTTATTAAGACAGCATTTATATACTTGTTATATTTTTAAACAATTTTTAATTTTTTTATTATCCTAAGATCCATTTTTTATTGTGTATATTTATTTGTCAGGCACAATTGGATTACGAAAGTATATTTAGAAGAAACAGGGTACGTGGAATAGAAGGTTCTCCAGTGCCATTTGCAGCAGCTATTAGCAATCATGGTAGGGATAAAAATTGCAATGCCACAATACCAACGACGGATAATACGCATCAACAAGTTGCACAACAGACTATACCACCTTTGCCAATCCAAGGTTTGTATAGTTTACCTATATCGTAATGTTTGTTTTATCCTTATTACATAATAATTATCGTTTATCACATAGGATCTCCCAAAAAACGACGTGCAGTTTCGATGGCAGTAGAATCTCAAGTTCCTACGCCAGTAGAAAAGCAGGTAGATAACGAAGGAGACGCGTTGATGGCTTCCGCACGTTCAGCATCCGAGGTTCCTCGCCTTAAAGCAGTAACCAATGCAACAGCGCCACTTAGAAAATCAGCAAGCGGTGCTACATTACCCGCTACTCTCGCCCGTTTGCGCATTGCTACACCCGAAGGAACATCCGGTGAATTACCAAGTCCTCGTATACAGACGGAAGTTGATGCTTCCTATTGCTCTTACGATGTAACTAATACTAAATACGTTGGAAACCAAAGTCCGGTGAGTACGCAATTTATACTTAACGTAACAGAGATTACAACAGTTATACAAATTTCGATATTTTTAGGTAACTGAACAAAGAGAACCTCTCAGAAGAGAACCCAGAAGAAGAGCAGACAGCCGACAACAAGTAAGAAGCGGACGGTCGGCGGTACGTGATTGTTCTATTACGCAATTTGCACAAATAGACGACGACAATGTATCCGCTCTGCAGCAAGTGACCAAAGGCGGTGGAGGATTGACTTTGGCTTCACAATGGAAGTCGCAATTTGACGATTCTGAAGAGACTGATAACGAGTGGAAAGGAGAAAATTTGCAAAGTCCTGAGCATAAAGGAACAAATGCCCCATCCATACCGCCACAAGTAAAAATTCTTGCTTATTACAATAAAAAGATTAGATTAGCAGGGACACGTGGATATGTTTTGTATCGAAAGTGCTCAAATAATGCTCGAAATTTAAACAAGTTTATACATGCAGTCCACAGGTATCGTCGAGGGCTCACAGCAATTGGATACAAAACCTAACGCAGCTCAATCAAATGCCTCAAATGTGTGTCAACAGCAGTCTTTAATGCCCACAGCACTGTCTAAAATAAGCGAAGATTCTCCGAAACCAGCAGTACCGCATAGATGTTTGAATATCGCGGGTATTGAAAAGTATCCAGAATTACAAGGTGCACTTCCGCGAGCTTGGAGTGTTCCGGTTTTAGCTCCACATGTTCGAGCTTATCTCGAAGCTCCATTGGTTCGTACCATGTTCTGTGGGTGGCTCGCTACCGATCTCTTTTGCACAGACTTATTTAAATTTCGATGGTAATAGGTTCAGCAAGCAGCATTTGATGATTTATTATATGAGGTTGATGTTATGAGGAATATTGCCACTCGATATGATGAGCCAAAACAGATCGTACCAGTCAGAAGATCTAGTCTACCAGCAGTAACTTTCTCTCCTTTTGATGCAACGGTTAACACTCCTAGAGGAGAAGAAGAGGAAGAAGCAGTAGCGGGTAGATTGGAAATCAGAGTGGTAGATGCAACTGGTGGTGCTACAATTGTGCAAACTAGTGCTGATAGGGAACCATTACAAAGTACGTGCGATTATTTTTTTTTACAAATCTGTTATCAATTAATGAGTTAGTGTGTTAGTCAGTCACAATCCATTTTATAATGCACTTATAATGCGAATATTTACGTTATCTGAATTTGTAGAAAAATTAACAAACGGAACGGCAGGTAGTCCAGCTAGTCCTAATCCAGGACCGGAAGAACCATCGATATATTACGACGCTACTGAGAATCGACCGACTGCAAATATGAGTTTGCAAAAGGAATCGATCAATCTCACTACTGCCTCGACTACTGTGCAAAACGCAGTACCGCTTCGTGATAATAAGGACAATAAAGAGAAGGAAACATCTAGTAGGACGTACATCGCTCATAGTAAAATACCAGTTCCTGTTAAAAGTCCAAGGTGTTCGCTATCCGAATCGACGCCTGAAATTAACACTCCGAATATCAAGGCGGGAACTGGAAGTGATATAGAAAAACTACCCGTGTCCGCGACCGCAACTAAGGAAAAAGAAAATAGTTAGTAAAACTAATATAATATAGAAAATTCTTTAATAATGTCGATATATAATATTTATACATATATTTATTATTTATGACATGCAAGATTATGATAAAAATTGATAAGATATATACTGTTCTTAAAAAGTTTGTAAAGAAAGCGACGTATCACTGAAGATACTGAAAAAGCTACGCTTTGAACGCTTTAATTTATTACTATATGATATTTTATTTTAATAATTTTAAAGATTATTTATTTACATTGTATCATTGTTATTATTAGAGAAAACTTATGAATGTAATATAATTTTAATATAATACAAAAATTTATTGTTATATTTTGAAACAATTGCGTAGAGAAAACAATTACAGTAGGAAATTATTTTTCAAATGTTACTCCTTTAAAAAAAAATTTGTTTTATATCGATCACACACACATAGTGTGAATAAATCTTCTACAAATTATTTCGTGTTGTCAAAGTAAGAAATATTAAAATTTCTTAACTATATATATAAAATATTATGTAATAGTAAAATGTGCATGAGTTTTCAATATCCTACAAAAGAATTTAACCCTTACATACAAATATTTTTGAATAAAATAGCATTAGTCTTGAAGTCTATGACTTGTATTTAAAAAAATAAGAAAATGTATATACGTGAAATTAATTTCTACACACTAGTTCCTCTTCGTACTAACGTTCGCAAATTTTAGCTGTCAGAGGTAAACCATTGACAGCACATATGGAAGCACCAGCACATTGCCGTCGCATAGCATTATCTGACGCTAGACCAATCATGTCACCTTTAACTTCAGCCAGCTCTGCCGAAGACGAAAATTTAACTGGATGTACGCCCGCTTTGCGCCGTCGAAGACAAAGTGAAAAATATGTGACAGACGCTAGTCAGCTGAATCTGCAGTTCCAAAGACCACAACACAGAACGAGACCGCAATCTGAAGTATTGAGACTTTCTCCCAGAGGAGTACCTTCGCATCTTTTACGGGAACCTGGTAAAAAATCCGAAGAGAGCAGTGAAAGTGATTCTAACAGCAGTGGACCGCCAAAATCTTCTTCTCGTCAACCACCACCACCGCCTACATCGTTGCCACCACACATAGCAGAAAACAATGCTAGGTGAATATATTTGCACATATATGTATCTGACTTGTGTAAACAATTTATAATCGGAAATTTAAATATATTACTCTCTTATCTCGATATCACTATGTAAAATTAATTGTAACTAATGATATAATTTCCCTTCTGTGATTATGGATATAACTTTCTGTAATTATAGATGCCGCCGTTATTGGCCCATACCAGATACAACGGTTGCTAGCAGAGAATCGTGAGATTTGATGTTCAAAATGACAAATAGCCTGTTTATGTTAGAATTGAGAAGGCTTTTACTGCTCAACCATCTAAGAATGTGATATCATTTGGAGCACCCGCAATACGAAATTTTTCTGATAAATATATCGTCGAATACATGAAAATTTTAGCAAAAATGCATATCTATATATCTACAAAGATACAGAACATACTTATTCATTTAGCGTGCGAAAATGTAATTGTCTGTGAATGCGTATTCAAATAGTGCCGCTTTAATTAATGCCTGCTGAATTATTTGAGTGAATTCCTCAAAAAAAGTCTTTCTATTATTTTTGGGGCATATACTCAACAAGTTTCAGTAAATGAAATAAAAGTGTACATGAGAGTGCGTGCTTTCAGTGTGCAAGCAGTACAATAATTTGGTGATTCGAGATAGTCGCTTTTTTTAAGACTATATCTTTTCTTTATTTATATAACTTGTTACATTTATGTTACAGTATGAATATGTCCAGAGTATCTTTAAATTTAGTATTTCTACATACAATATTATATATTTCTTTCCTTTTTTTATATCTGTTGGATTTGCATACATGATTTATGCATAGAATATGTTTTATATATGTTACCAGAAAAAAACTTTATGTTATTATTAAATCTAATAGAATTTTCCTTGCACGGAGATATAAAATGCACTTATTTGCATAATTCATTCATATTATATAAAATATCCTATAGAGACAGCTTTTATAATTTTATTGATAGTAGCTGCAAAGTAATTATAAATACATTTCTTTGTTATAATAATTATCATTATAACTGTTGTACACTGAAACATATTTTATTTGTTAAAATAATACAAATATTTTATATCTTAAAGGAAATGAGTGCTCGATAATTTATTAATTAAAATTATACTCATTTAATTTATGATACTTTAAATTGTTAGTAATTTAGAATTGCTATGAGCATAAATCACGTAATAATAACATAATGAGTTTTGTGGATAATATAAGAAACCATGAATAATAGATATTATTTAGCATCGCAAGAGAAAGATGAGTTTAATGAAGTGGCTCTAGTAATTATAAAATTCGGGCCAGATATACTAGTCTCCTTGATAACTCATTATTAAGGCCAACAAAATGCAATCTTTTTTTCGCATATATATACAAGGTATTGCAAAATCATCAAAAGTTCTTTTAATAACAGTTCAATTAAGAATTGATTTTTCTTTGGCAAAAGAATATAACAAAGAAGATAATCGTTTATTGCAACTTCTTTGTATTATATTTGTTTGATATGATGCTCTAAGCCTTAAATTAAAGTTCTATGAAAATTATTTTCTACTTGAATTAGTTGAAATTAGTTGAAGAATGTTTTATTACTCATTGGTTTCTTGAAAATTAATTTTAAAGTTTTTTTTTGTTCAATCGCTCAAATTGATTAAAGAACATGTCATTAAAAGAACTCTTAATGCTTTTGAGACATCCTGTAAATATATATATGTATATGATCTCAGCTTCCTTGTACTATCTTTCATCTACAGATCTTTAGACTAATTTGAAATTAAAAAGGAGTTTTAATTCTTGAACTGTAAATAATTACAAATTCAGGGATTTTCTCAAGTCAGCTTCAGGGATGTAAATATATATATATACATATATATAATAAGTATATAGTAAAATAATAACTTTAAATTGAAAACTGAAGACATTTAGGATTATTGTATTAAATTATATTAATTTTATTAATTTTATTGTCTTAGAAGTTACTCTATATGTGTATATAAAGTTATAAATTGCACATTTTTATTTTTATTATTATTAAAAATATTTAAAATTGAATGTTAAAAAGTAACATTTTTGTTAAAAAAATGCATCCCAAATTTATCAGGGAATCTATAGATGAAAGGATATGCAGAGAATTTGGGAAACTGCGTATATGAGTATATGCGTGTAGATGCGAATCGAAGGAATGTGTATGCATGTGAGAAACATTTATAATAGAAACAAATAATATTTGTACCAAACGATGTACTAAATACAGGTTCCTTTATTCGAGCATCGTAGCACATAATATGAACATATATTACACATGACATGTGTATATATATGCACATCTATTTCAAGATGAGATATAGAATGCCACTGTATATGAGAAAGATGTTGAATAAGACATAATTGTGACAGATATTTAAACATTTCTCATGCACATAATATGACAAAAAATTGATTTAAGCACGAATGCTTTGCGAGTTTTCTTATATAACGAATCTTGAATGAAGTCTAGTGATGCATAAAACTAGTCATAATAGAATAATCCATAATGTGCTATTGTTAAATCCAGTTTTAAATATAGAGTCTTGTCACCTTGTATAAAATAGGAAGATTATTCTGTGCAATGATTATGATTAGATCAAGTATAGAAAGTGTTCCGGTATTGGCGAAAAGTAGGCATAACGTAATTTCTTATGAGATGTGTGATGTCGATTTTTTTTAGTTTTTTAAATACAAAAATGTTAATCTTTCTCGAAATTTTTGTCGGGGGAGGATCAAGAGTTCAGGGTTCATGAAACTATATAACCATCTTTCGTCAATTCTGTATGTGGACACTTAGTATAATTTATAAATTAACAAATTTTTAATTATTTTGTTCGGCAGAACATAACGCGCAATAAAAGAGATTGTATTAATAGGAAATTTATCATCGACTTATTAGTGCTTATTAATTATGTGGCAATATATCTTCGTGTAAGATGTATACGAAATGCGGATACACGACGTAGATTGAATAGACATAAAAGGATCAAAATCAATGAATTTTGGATATTATTAATAATAGCGTTATTATATAAGAAATCTGAAAAAATGTATCTTTTCATGCAAGTATGTCATAGACTTGTAACTGTAAAGTATTATTCGGATACATGTATAATTGAATTTATAAAGTTACACCGCCTTTTTTTCAGTAAAAAGAAAATGAGGAGAAAAGCATATAGTATCTCCTTTTTGAATTTATGTAAATAAATGGCATGTATGCATATATATGTAGATATAGCTTATGAGAAATGCATATATACATATATGCATATAGATGCAAATATTATATGTATTTTATGGATATTCAAATGTAACATATAATGATTAAACAGAAAGTTTCAATAGATGTTCAAAGATTAACTCATTAAAGCCTATAATTTCTTATAATTTCTGTATGAAACTCTCCTTCTGTATTCATTGGATAATCCAGAGCAATATACTTTAGCATGGAAATTTTGTATAGAAATTTTATCTATTTTCAAAGTACTTAAAAACCAAATAAAACTAAAATTGTAACTAGACTTTAATGAGTTAATTTTAAATCGAATCGTAATCAATATAAAGACAGATTGTAATAACAGCAGAATATCAACATTACTGGAAAGTATTTAAAAGATAGATGCTGTAAAACCGACTTTTTTGTGAAATATGAGAGGTTCTTAATTATTATAATAATTCTCAATATTAATTATAGTAATTTATCATATTCTGCTAAAATTTATTCGAGATTAACTGAAAAATAAAGTTGATCAATATTGTTTGGTCACTTAAATACATATAAAATTCTACATATTATATTTTGATCAATTTTTTTTTAAATATTCCTTAAAAATCTTCAGTATAGAAACATTGATTTTAAATTTTGCATTAAAAAAATCTATCAGTAAAATATTTTCCAGTCGTGCAAGATATTCTGTTTATGGAAATTTTACGAAGTTATAATAGAACGGTATTTTTAATCGAATTTTAAAGAAACAAGTGTTATCTTTAAATTCTATAAAGAATATTATTCTATTATATTTTCACAATTATTTTATTTTTTTCTTAATATTGTCTGTATTATCTTTACAATATTTCGTATAAAAGTATTCAGTTCTGTATTCTACTATACTTGACTTTTGGACCTTAATCATAAATAATGTAACTGTATGTATGTATGAGCATATTTTCTGTCCCTGAAAGATGGAAACGTATCATTCCATCCATGATTCTGTATTATAACATATGCATTATAAAATAGGAGACACGATAATCGTTTTTATCTTTATCATGTACATGTATCCGCAAATCGTTGACGAGACCTCGAGGATTTTTTCTGCTGTAATATGTAATTGATTTTTTGCTGACAATTTAATACATATTGTGACCACTTTCTAAAAGAGTGAGTCATGTACAGTTAATAAATATAACAAAAATTGGCTGTAACAAACACCACTAGAAAATGAAATATCATATTGTCATATAAGCGCAGTTCAATTTCGCTGAAATTTTATTTCAGCAATTTGAACTTAGAAAAGCTCTTCCCCTCCCTATACAGTATATTATTGAAAAATTTAATTGTAACGATTTGTTTGAAAACTACATACTTTGAATTCGATATAAATAAATATCGAAATATTTTAACGTTATACATACGGTATACAAAGCAATTCAACTCTGTGACAATTTCATAATTATGTCACTGACTATACAGCCAATCGAACAAAGTTATTTAGAAACATTTTATTAGAAGCAATTTAAACTACAGAAAATTGGATCAAGGGAAATTTAAGCGTATACAAAACTTTATATGTAGATAGAAATGAATGAAAAGAAATCAATTTATAGGATAAATAACGCGAAAAAAATCTGTGAGCGTTTATACACTTTCTCGTATCGCTACAGAGTAAATAAAATTATCTATTCTACTGCAATCCAATTTTTTTAGAAAATTGATCCATTTATATAGTAGAATTTATACTTCTCATAATACTTTTCGAACTATTTGTCGAAATTTTATTAGTGATTGACACCGTTACTGACATTAACTGTTTTTTTTCTATTGTTTTTGCGAAATATTTGATAAATATATGCTCCGTCACAATTCTTTATACATAAACACACGAGAATAGCATCTGACTCAGGATTATCACATTCTTGAAGTAAGAAGAAAAAGATGATGTTTGCAATACGTCGTTTTTATTTGTTATTAAAGTTTTTCGAGGTGTATATATATATATGTATATATATATACACACACATATATATATATATATATATGTATATATACATACATATATAGTATATATATATAATAGTATATTAATAGTGATATCTTTGCGCGTGTGTATTTCGTAATAGCTACAATTTTCTCTAATTTATACATGAAACGTTTGGTATCTCTCAAGGGTACAAGACAAAATCAGATTATCGACATCTAGACTATAATATCACAATAATTAACTGCGATTATGTCGGTATTATTTCAGCTTTACACAATAGCGGTAATTATAGAAAATACAGAAATACTAATTACATTTAATTGTTATATTAAGTATTGGAATATATTCTTGGACTTATCTAAAACGAAAATATAAAAAATTGTTCCTTATTACTAAGGTGCTCGCGGGAAATGAGTGCCTTATGATATAATTCACACGAGCAGATTCTTGGCATACAAGCATGATTTTTAAATTTTACCACGGCATATTCGCACCAATCAACTTAGATAGCTAAAGCTCGAGTAATTTTCTACAATAATGACTTCAGTTTTGAACAGAGTTTGTTCAATGCGATCGTTTCACAATTGATCCCAATACTGTTATCAGTATCAAAGTCTCGCCGATACTAACAAATGGGAGATTTTAAGAGTATTAACGAACTCCACTTTTTGAATGCGCTATGAGCCATTGTAACGTGATATCGATATTGTCTTTTTCTTTACACGAAATACTGTAGCAACAGATCTCACGGTCCTGAATCGCAGATAGATTCCTAGAACAAAAAAATATATATATACATCCATACATTTGCAAAATGTTACATACAGCTGAGTGTGAAACTTACATTCTTTCTATGAGCCCATTCTCATCCAATGCATGAGGTAGATCCCTTTTATTACCCAGAACCAACACTGGTATCCCAGACAATTGTGGTTTATCCAATAAATTGTGTAATTCATTACGGCTTGCCTCAATCTTCTCTGAATCAGCTGCATCAACCATGTAAACTATGGCATTTACTCCTCTACAATATCTCTCCCACATAGATCTAAACCTTGGTTGACCGCCAATGTCCCATACTTTTATAGTGACATTACCTTTGGTTATTTTGCGCATGTTAAAGCCTACAGTTGGTATCATATCTTCGCTAAACTGACCCGACTGAATACAGAAAAGAGAAAGATTATCTTTGTTAGTCCATATTTAAGAACAATGACACACGATTATCATTAATTATTCTGATAATACAAAGATATAATTTTATAACTTTAGTTTAATATAGTTCAATTATAACAAAAATTATGTACTATAAATGAGCGTATTCAAATTTAGCATAAACAAATTTAATTTTCAATTCGTTTATAAGTGCAGAAACAATAAATTTTATTATACATTCGCAAGAACAATCGGATTTCCATAAAAAAAAAGAGAGGGGAAAAAAAGCGGGGAAGAAAAAGACGAATAAATAAGCGGAAGCAGCAACGCAGTTCAATGACTATCACATTTAATTGCGACAATACTAAATCATTTGACGTAAGGGCGTATACGGTGACGGTATACGTTAATACAGAGATGGAGTTATTTCGAAGGGGTTATTGAATCTAACCAAGCATTGCGACACACACAGAGTACTTCCGCAAACCTCGCGTCTCGTTAATATTGACTTGTACGTTTGTGAGGTCGATTCATGCACGTTCTGCTAAACAGAGGAGATTCATGACTCACGTACCGCTATGACATTCACGAAGGTAGTCTTTCCACTGTACTGCAGGCCAACGAGAGTGAGTTCCATCTCTTCCTTCCAGAAGAGGGACTTGAACCAGTCCAAGATCCGATTGATAAGGGCCAGCATACTGAATCCCGTGCGGTGAAATCCAGTTCCGTCGAGAGGTTAACGTGGAAACTCCTTCAAAATACACGACTGCTCGTTGCTCGCTACCTTGTATCCGCCGTCGAGAGAATCAGGATACGTCACTCCCGCTTCCAGATGGACAGACGAATTTCACGCGTGCGCAATAGCGCGAGCATTAGCAGACAGCTGTTCGTAGACGATTTAAGCGACAATGGCCTACAATGGCATTTCGAGAGTGTCATCTTGAGCGACGCTTGTATTCCGAAATCATTTCTGTGCCATTTGTGTGCCATGCGTGGTACATTGCATCAAATTTCTCTTGATGCTTCTCTATATTCCTCATTCTTATCATATTCTTTATCATTTGGCTGTCGTAACTGCCCACTAACAGTCTGCGCAGATCCATGAATGAGATGTGTTCCTCGATGCGTTCCAAGATGCGTCGAAAAAAAGTTTCAACTCTCTACCGGCAATGTTGGGTTTTAAAAAAGACAATCAATTTTTTTATTAATACACAATAGATAAGTCTTAAGTCTTCAATTTATATTCTAAAAATAGTTGATAAGTATTAATATATTAGGTGTTGGAATTAATTCGTAGCGTTTTTTAATGAAAGAATGTTATTTATTTCACATGAGCATTAAAAAATACATTAATGAAAGTACTTCCCATCACTTGTAAAACGCTACGAATTAATTCCAACACCTAATATAATGCGGTACGTGTAACGTATCACTCAGTAAACGAGAATGGATTGAGATAAATTTAAATGAATTCAGATTTTCAGAAATATTGATTCACGAATGTTAAAATGAGTGCTTTTCAATCCTGAATGCATTTTTATTCATTTATAGGAATTGCATGGAGCATATCTCTATGCTTTTCAATCTAAAAATAATATTAGCTTTTTTTATGCACTGTGAATACTGTTCAATTCAAAATTTTGAATAGCAATTTTTTGAAATTTGTAAATGCAATTTTTCAATCCAATTGCATCCAATTGCATGGAATTTTTTTAAAATAAAGCATTTATATGCAAATGAGAGAGATTTAAATATAAATAAATCTTAGTAATCATTATCAAGCGCAATTGGACACGTCGAAAGAATTTCTCGATTGAGATTGATCACGTTTCTCTTATCGGATTTTATTAAAAAACAACTCAGTTTTTTAAGGCAGATTCATACTTGATTTATAAAATCTGCAAATTCATACATACACACGAAACTTAAGCCGGTATTACCACAATCGAACGTTTTCCTCAATTTAACCTTTTTTTTGCGACTATACGATTCTAATATTTCTAATTGGCTTATAAATAAAATTCGCTTATCGTCGAGTGTTTCGTGGGTTCTCCCGATCAAGCCTTGTATTCACGCAATCCACGGTGCTAAAATTCGGTTCGTGAAATGTATATCCAATCAACTTGCCGTTTTTCCGTAAAAACTGCACGTCGATTGGCTACACATTTCTGAATCCGAGAACTGCCGAGAAGCGAAGAACTCGGACCGAGTTCTAGCACCGTAGAGACAGGTCTTTATTATACTTGACAATCGAGTGGTCCTTTTTCGCGAACTTTGGTACATAGAAAAAAATAACTCTCGGACGCGCGTAGGCGACCGTGAGCGACTGTTGACGTACTTCGTGAATTCCGACCAACTCCGACAGGCAGCAACAAGAGTTCCTCGTGAAATAATGTCCCATCAGACTGGAATTAAGGGTGATTATGTTTCTTTGCTCGTAGCATACTGCATTCGCCACAGTGAAGATTAATTGCAGTGAATTGATAACAGAATTTTTCGATCTCAATTGTCAATCTTTTATTAATAATGGTTGATTTATTTTAGCCAATGACGCATTGAAGAAGTTGTTCGCGAAATGCCGTGACGGAAAGATACGAGTACTAAAAATTTCTATAGAGAATGGTAAGTTCTGGATTGTAGCAAAAATTTGCATTGTCGAAATCTTAAGAACATATGTTTATTTTGCTATAAGATCCTGGGATTAATTATATATCTTGATGCGTAGTGAAAGTTACAAAGTGAGCGAATATTGACTTTGTTAATTTCATCTCATTTCAAGATACGTAATCAATTCTCTGAAGAACAAAATAGAGACGCATGGCATCTTTAGTAATTATTCTTTTCATTTTTCAGAGGAATTAACTCCAGCATCTAGTCTGAAGCCAATTAACAAATGGCACGATGATTACGATAAGATGATCAAGCCACTGATTGTGGAAAATCAACCAGCTTATATTCTTTATAGATTGGACACAAAATCGCCAGATTCTGGCTATGATTGGTTATTTATATCTTGGTCTCCCGATACTGCACCAGTACGACAGAAAATGCTTTATGCTTCTACTAAGGCTACGCTCAAGCAGGAATTCGGTACAGCCTCAATAAAGGAGGAATTACATGGCACTGTCCCGGAAGATATTACATTAGATGGTTATCACAAACATAAGAGAAACGATACAGCACCTGTACCACTGACAACGGCAGAGGAAGAATTAGCTGAATTGAAGAAGACTACCGCGACTACCGACTATAGTGTCGAAACAAGACATCAGACCTTGAGTGGCGTGGCCTTTCCAGTAACAGATGAAGCCAAGCAAGCCATTGTGGAGCTGGGTAAAGGAATTCACGAATACATTCAATTAAAAATTGAATTAGAAGAAGAAAAGATACATTTAGTCACAGCTTGCGATGTTTCATTGGATAAATTACCTACTAAAGTTCCGTCTGATGCTGCTAGATATCATCTTTATAATTTCAAGCATACTCATGAAGGAGATTATACAGAAAGCATAGGTAAGTGATAAATAATATTTCATGTACCTGCACAGTGTAAAAGAATAATTTTTTTCTTTTTTCAGTTTTCATATATAGTATGCCAGGATATAATTGCAGTATTAAAGAAAGGATGTTATATTCTTCATGCAAAGCACCTCTGTTGGACCTAATCCAGTCTCTAGGAGTAACTATAATAAAAAAGGTTAGTACTTTTAATATTTTAATAATTCACTGTAATTACTTTGGCTCTGATCCACTTTATGTAAATATTTTTCTTTATCAGTCTTGTTTTAGTTTAGAAATATTATATATTTCAATCAAATAGGCATACTCTTTAAATATAATAATAAGAATAATGCAACATTTAATTAATATCATACGTATATGTGTTTTGTGACTATAACTATTTATTTTAAATACAAATCTCTAGTATTCATCTGTAATTTCTTTTTAAAATTTAGTATGCCTCAATGGAAATCTTTTTCTCTTTTGTACCATCCTATTTTATAATAATAATTGTAATTGCAACATTGTATCATATATAAGATTATGTGCGTTGCATTTCTAAGTGTAATACTATTATACTTAGAAAAGCAATTATTATTTATTTATGATCTACTAAAAAATATTCTTGATATACGTTTGTACTTATATATAACTGCCATCTCTATATTATATAACTGCAATCCTAGTTGGAAGTTAATAGTGGAGAGGAATTGGCAGATAAGTTGGAAGATCCTCCAAGCATAAAAGACTCAGCTGCAATAACTCCTGCAACTCCATCGACACCTTGTGCTCCTACTCAATCCATACCAGAGAAAAAATCAAAACAGAAACGGTCTTGTGTCTTAAGCTAAAACTGGCCTAAAGCATTTATCTCTGCCATTATTATTGCTTTTGCTAATTGAAGTGTTTATGATGTTTTGTGCATCAAATATCTTCCTTCATGAATTCCAGAATTGTGATAATATGATATTGACATAGGATATGTCGTTAAAATAATGGGTTTCCAATGTTTCATGTTAGAGCAAATTACAATTATCTAATTATATATATATATAAATATATGTTATGACAGTTAATTTACAAGTAGCAGAAAATGTAATGCATCATGCAAAGGAAATTAATCTGTGTTATTTATCAGCATTTAGAATTAATTTATCAAAGTGATACGTAAATCTAAGTAGCAAAACAGAGTAGACCAGATGGTGTATTTTTCTAAATTTTAAAAGCAAAATTATCACGTGGAAGGTTCTTTGCAAAACGTCATTATATCTATTGATAATAAGTGTGACATGCCTATGATGCAGATAACCCCATATAGTTCATGTTGTTTCACATATAGTATATTCATTAATTCATCCTACATATGAAATTATTCATTTATGTGAAAAATAGTCGAGAATTAGATTGAATTAAATTATTTTGTTTGACATTGAAAGCTAAGCCTCACTTTTTAATTTTTATATTTAGTATGAGTATTATATTATGTGATAGCAATTGTGTGAAATGTGTATGTAATTTAGTTTTATACAGAACTTAACATATTCTATTCAGAGTTCCTCTTCATTCTAATAATTTTATATATACATATGTATTTTATATGCAGCATTTCTATACCTAAAATATATATTTTCTTTAAAAAATATGTTTAAAAAAATATATATATTGCACCTAGTACTACTGAATTAGTTCCTAGTTTTATAAAAGTGATATGTGTCGTAAGTATTTTTAGAGTGAAATTTGAAGGCTTAGCTTTTAAACTCATTCAAATGTTCATATGAGATTCGATAAACATAATATTTTTAATATTGATCTGTGGTAACTATATACACCATATGTGATGTGAGTAGAGAGTTAGGAAAAATTCCATTTGTGCTCTAAATAGATAGAAGGAAAGAGAAAGAGCTAAAGCCATTCACCTAACTTCTCTATATATTTTCAATATGATAATAACGTAGTTATTAGACAAGTGATAAATATGCAAACGCCACATTAATGTGGATATATTTTTTTCGCACACTATTATTTCAGCTACAAGATAGTGATAACACTAGTTATTTTACATATAAAATTTTATATCATGTTCTACACTATTGTAAATGCTAAAAATATTAGATCTTACAAATGTGTATGATGTAAGACTGATCTTGGTGAGTCCTATCAGCTGTTAAATATTATATATTTCCAACTATTAAACAAGATTAATGATAATTATTTGTTATTCTTATATTATTACTAAAATTTTAAAAAGCTATGTTATTCGAGAGCATATATATTATTTAATATATTTATTATAATAATTTATTGTTTAAATAATAAAATATCTCCAGAGAAAAAATGTTTTCAAATATTTAAGTGAACATGCAATTTACAGCAGATAGGACTACAATTTGATAGTCCGCAACAAAATATATGAGAGGCATTCTATTTTTTGTGATCTGTATTTTCTTAACTTGTAGCTTTTTATAAACTTTTTGAATGTTTTAGTCATAAAATACGCGTGCGGAAAAACGATTAATAAAACAGCTGGGTCTACTTGTGCTGTGAAAATTATTTGAGCCAAATTTTTGGATTTTTTCCTTTCGTGCACGGTTTTTTATATTACGGTTTTATAATACGGTTTTTATATGATTTTATAGATTTTTTTATAATCCTAATTGTTATATCCCTTATTTTTAATGAATTATTTAACTTTCTAGTTTAGTTAAGAAAGAGAGAGAGAAAGGGGGGGAGGGAGAGAGAGAGAGAGAGAGAGAGAATGTCTAAAGCAGAAGAGGAAAGAGTACAATTTTTGGCTCATATTTGCATAAATATATTTAAATTAATTCTTGTACTATACTGAAGACTAATTAAACATACGTATTTTTTTAAATCATGACCCACAATATTGCCTAATAATATACTTTAGTTAAGTGTCATATCAGGCCTATTCTGTAACTCTCCGATTTTATCTTAGCTCTGAACTTTTCAGTTATATCTATATAACTTATTAAAATCAAGGAAATTGTATATATATATATCTTGCCAATATTGAATATTACTGGAAATAATAAAGCATTATGCAACTTAAACTTACAATTTGGTGTTTCTCTTTTTATATTATATTCAGTATTACATATACATTTATACTAGGTACATATATAATTATTATAGTAAGGACCACTTAGGTATGTATATTGCTAAGGATGACTTGGCGACACTTCTTAAAATAGGTATGTAGTTATTTTTAAGATTCAAAGGCATGTTTTGTTACAACTTGCAGAATAGGCCTGCTATATGATCTACAGTCATATGTTTATATAACTTATCTTTTTCCTGATTTTCTCTATTTTTACAGTAGTAAATCTCTTATAACTACATTCCTATTTCTGTTGATATGTATATATTATTCATTTCCTAAATTTTTATTCTATTAGATGTACATTACACATATATTATAATTTTTCTTTACAATTTAATTGCACAGCTTGAAATAGCTGCTGGACAGGAACTTACCGAAGAGTTTTTTCAAGAGGAATTACATCCAAAAATCAGTTTACATCAGCCAAAATTCGCTAAACCCAAGGGTCCACCGAACAGAGGTGCTAAGCGTATAACCAAGGTTCAAGAGTTAGCATCCTCTGGACAAGAAAATTAAAAGACTATTTATGAAGTTATTAATGTTAAAATAAAAGCAGGATAATGATTTCTAATATATTTGTATGCACGCATTGTTATAAAATATGCATGATTCATTTTTCTCATTTACTTAAAAGAAGAGATATTAAAGATAAATTTATTTTGGCCTATTCTGTAAATGTATACTTAAAATATATAATTATTTATTTTATTGTTTCATCTCTAAGCCAATTATATATATGTGTATATATTATACATACACACATATATGTGTATATAAGAGATTTATCAAACTTCGCACTTATGTGATAAATTATGTGTGAAATTTATATATATATATATATATATATATATTTATTTGTTAGAAAATTTTTTGAAATTGTTTCGCATCTCACAAAACTTTAAGGCAATGACAAATGGATAATAAAAATTTCGATCTCACAGAGATTTTTCTATATATAAGATTTATTTATATAATTATGGGTTTATTTTGTTTTGGTTATTATCATTTTCGTTTATATCCCGCAGTTTCTTATTTTCTTCGTATAATTTTTGTATCTCTGGTAATTCACTCCTCATATGTTGTTTTATCATTTCACTCGTCCTACAATTGTTAAAAATATACAATATTAATGTATTTAAAAAATCAATATAACTTTATAACTTATACATTCAACGATATAACACAGTATACTTATATTGAATGTAGATCTCTCTTGTAAAAAATATCAAATTCAATATTTAAATTATAAAATGGATAATATTTTACTTACGTATTTCTCGCATTTATCCAATTTTTTTGTGCTTCTAATACTTCATCTATAGTTATTCCTGATAACTTAAGAATAAGAAGTGATGCACCGCCACATACTCCACCTAATATACCACCAAGTCCAGTGCCAACAAGCGCTCCTCGAAAACCCAGGTTCATTTTAAATAATAATCCTGCTATAGAACCACCCAATATATAATTCTCTAGTGCTAGCTTTCCACGATATGATGATGTACATGTTGTTATGGAACTATAAAAGAAAATATCATTTTAACTTTCCATAATTTTAGGCCATAAAAAGTATACATACCTAAAGATAAAACAAAATGTTCCAAGTTTCATTCCATATCGTCCACCCTTCTTTAAAAAATTTGTAACAACCAATCGTTGAAGACTTTGTTTTGCATCAAAATGGCTTAAGAATCGTGTTGCTTCGTTATTCATGATGAAATTATTTATTGTAGTCTTAGCTGAACTCGTACCACCCATAACTAAGCCAACTGCAAAACCTGATACTGTTATATTTATGATAGATTGCAATTCTTTTGAATATCCAGTTTCTCTAAAAAATGAGATTATAATTACGAACCATTGTAATAAAAATTTTATTTATGTAATTGAAGTAAAGATTTTATATTTAGATATGTATATGTACATGATACATACTCAAAAGAAAATATTTTTTTTACTCTGTCCCAACCTAATTCATCATCTAGTGGTTTTATTATTGTATTCACAGGCTTATCATACTGATCATTATTTTTGAAAAATGGAAATACGGACATTAACATTGGGCTTCTGATTAATAGGCGTGTCATCTTAAGTTTTGATAATTTATTATAATAATTTATTACTAGTTATATATGTATATATCTATATATATGTGAATATTGATAAATCTGAAATCATTTCGGACAAAATTGAAAGCTTGAGCATTTATATATAAACATTTCAAATATAGCGGTATAATAACGATAAACACGATGGAACAAAAATTAAATATAATAGGATAAAATTTAAGAATTATTATTTCCGCATATAACCTTCTGTTTAACTGAAGTCAATATATAGTTATATATAATGAAACCGTTACCACTGTCACAAAATGATTAAAAAATATATGTACATAAGTATTAAAAAATAAATGTACATAAGTATTAATAAATATTTCATAGAAAATTAGATAAATATCACAAATAATCTCAAAAATTTTGTATTTTAATTAGTTTTGCACTAGTATAAACACGCAGTGTTATTAAGACGAACCGCTTTTTGGTGCATGCGCATTGATGCGTATTCGATAATCAATGTTCGATGGCAATGATAGCATCACTATAGCGGGCTACGTCCCAAAATTGACTGCCAGTACTGAAAATCTATAGTACACATCTATAGTACACATCTATAGTACACATAAAGTATTTTTAACGCTAGCAGTAAATTTGGAATACAGCCAATTTATAAAGATCCCGTTAGGAAAAAATTAATTAATAATATTGTAAAATACTACAAATTTTCAAAAGACTAAAAACGAGCGAAAGAAATGTCAGTTTAATGATAAATAATAAATACGTTTATTTCTTTTTATCTATAATATGAAATTTCAATTTCACC